GATGGATGACAAAGATTTCATTTCTCAAAGATTATCCACTCCCTCTCTTTAAATTCTTACTTTGAGGAGTCCTCCACCAATCAAAAGAACAAAAAGAACATTTCACTTTTTTTAAAGGTTTTTTGGGGAGCCTTTTGTTCCTTTGTGAGACAGACAGGACAGTGGAAAGAGTCAGAAACCAGGGAGATAGAGCCACAGGTTTGATTCCAATCTGGGCCGACTACGCTCAAATTGAGATCCAAATCAGTCATCTATTTGAAGTCCCTTCTTAAGACACACTTTTTCCGGGGAGCCTTTCCTGATTTTGGTTGATTTTAAATAGTTACTTGAATTTTACTTTTTAAAATTCATTTAAAAGAATTGTATGGATTTTACAGATGGATTTTATATCTTAGAGTGATTGTTATTTCTTAATCTTGCCTTGTTTATTATTCAATGACCTGCCTGTTTTTACATTTGCTGTCCTTGTAAAACACATTGTAACTTGTTTTTGAAAAGTGCTCTTTAAATAAAGATTATTATTATTATTATTACAGCCTCCGTACATGGGGCGCATGCACTAACCACTAGGCCATCAGCACCCCATGAAAGGTTTAAATAAGTCTGTAAAGAGAGGTGAAAAATGTCCATGTTTTCACAAGTTGCTTTTATGATCTCTCAGTCAACGAGTTGGGAAGTTATTCCTCCAACGTCTGTGTTTTTATGAGCTCTAAGCTGTTATGCAGTAGCAACATCAGTGAATGGAAGAACATCTGCTGGTACACAGAACAAGTGAAAGTCACTGAGATGACAAAATACCATGATGCATTTTACATTTTGAACCATAATTTGTTTATTCCCTCCATACAAGTGACACAAATGATTTTTGCACAGTCATACACTGTGTAGACTAGGACAAACTAATTTCTGTGATTATTCTGACATCTTATCAATGCAATGTTTATTTTGTGGCTCTACAGGAGCTTTGCCAAGTCTCAGAGAACAACTCAATGATGTAACAATGATGTCATCAGAGTTAGCGTGGTTGGAGTTGGAAGATGACCATCTATTACAGAACCTGTTGAGCAAACTTGGATTTTTTTTGGCATTGGTTTATGCTTTTGTTTGAGAGACAGGATAGAATCTGAAATCAGGGAGAGGAGCCATGGGTCGGATTTGAACCAGGGCCACCCGATGCTAGGAGGACTACAGCCTCTGAAGATGAACCTGCTTACTAACCGCTAGGGCTCTGGCGCCCTGAGACTTCAAAAGATGTAGGTCTTGGGGGGGCTCTATCAAAAGGTGGTATTAGATGAAATTTGGGAAATCTTCTGTTTCTGGAGGTTAAAGCGTACAGTGGGCTAAAGATCAGATTGTAACACAGCAGTGATAGCTTTGACCGTCCTTTCAGGAAATGATTTAAAAGAAGATGGACAGAACAAATCAGCCACATGCTCCTTAATTGAATGTACTGTGTTCACATCATCTGTTTGCTCTGTTGTCACTCTGACCTGAACACAACGTGTGTTGTTCCTCTCAGTTATGTAACAGCAGTGATTCAGCTTGTAGGTCATCACTGACCTGCAGAAATACATTATATCATACAGGATGTGCTTTGATGTATGCTTCCAAAAAACCCAAAGGTTTATTTGAGAGGATGAGTTTGGGTAGCGTGGTACAGTCATACCCTTCAAAAAAAAAAATCCCTCTATTGATATGACAAAACAGAGAAAAGAAGGTCTCACATTCAATCTGTATGTTTGAAGAGACTGCATGCTGAGAGCAGCAGAAGACACTAGTTTGAGTTTTAGACCTCGTTTTGTGTGGTGTGCTTTTCCATTAAACACACTTACTGCTGCTCAGTGGAAATTAAGTTTGCTGAAGAGTTACAATAAAAAGCATTAGTTTATAAAATGCAGACAGCTGTGTGCACAGACAGGTCTAATTGATAGAATGTGTAAAGTAAACATTTCCATGCTTGGGCAGTTCGACTGTGTATCCACATTTATAAACAGCAGGGGAAGCGGAACACATTTTCTCCTTGAAATTGAGTTCAGGCGTCACAAGATTCCCTTTACTTCTTCATGACAGCTAACATGCTACTTGCTGTTTCGTGCAGTGTCCTGGATAATAACGAAGCAACAACCTGTTCGACTCTGTTGTAAAAAAGGAGTTTGTTGGGAACGGTCTTTGCTTCGAGATAGCTGTCTGAACATGTTCCACTGAATCAGTGGAAACTTATTAAAAACATGCAGCCGTGTCCAGAGCTCATCTAAGGGGAAAACTGCCTGCCAAAAATATGATGAGAGCATGGATCAGCGAGTGTTTGCTCCCATTTCAAGGAGGTCTCTCTCTCTCTTTTAGCCTGAAAACAGCAGCTCAGCAGGCATGTGATTAGTAAGCGAGACTCCTAAAACCCCAACAGACTCCGAACCGCAAGTGACCCAGAATCCTCAGCTTGAGTCCAAACATCCATCACTATCTTCATTCTCGTCTGCAGTCGGTGACTTCTGTTCCAGCACAAATAACCTCTTAAGGCCACTTCTAGAAGATTCAGTGAGATGGCGCAACACTTGATAAAATCTTTTTTATGCAGATTCATCTTTAAAAGATTACAAAGTTGGGCTCGCCTATATAGGAGCGGACTAGATGCCCTTTGAATGACCTTCACTGACTTTGTATTTGTGTCTGAATGACATCAAAGTTTCACATCCCGATCTTTAATTTAAGGAATGTAATTTTTATTTGAATTATTTTTATTTTTGTTTAAGAAGTGAAGCAAATGCACTCTTGAGTTTTTCTCTCGTTATTCAAACTAACGATGAAGTCTTGCTGGAAACATTCAGACAATCAATAAATACAGACCAGTTGGTTTTTAGGAAGTTATAAAGACAGAATTATAGGAAAACGAGAGCCAAATAAAAATAGTTTTGAGTCGAAGTTAGTCCTTCCTTTCACTTTTTAAAAACCATTTAACAAGAATTTCTTCGCTGTTATAAAATTCGGGGTTTCAGGGTTTGTTTGGGCTGAATCCAGGACCTGCAAAGGCTGAATAGGCGTTGTTAGGATTATGATGCCTTCATTTTATTATTCTATTACTATTTGACAAAGTTTTTGACCATAGAAACTACTTATAGAATAGTTAAGAAAATTCAGGCTCTCACGATGTCCACTACAGAATATGGGGGGAATTACGTTTTTGTATGTTTAGCTTGTCCATTTGAGACAGACTTCTCGTCTGGGTTTAATTTTCTGATTCATTGAAATGTGTATTTTTCAAGTTGAAGTTGTAGACAGTTCAGTATCAGTAAACAGTGATCATCCCTAGGTAAGGCTAACCATGGTTGCTCACCGATTAGCTTATACTCGATACTGTTCCTTACGTAATGTTAGCTATGTAGTTGATTGCGGCAGAGTTGAACATGATAGTCATGACTCATGAGAATGTTTTTCCTGACACCAAAGTTAAAATTAGTCTAAAGACAGTTGGACAAAAGCATAGGGTGACCATATTTTCAAACCTCCAAATACAAACACTTTTATTTTACCATAAGCCCACATATGTGAGCTCATGGTGGAATTGGAGGGTTAGAGTTAGGTCACCTTTCAACACCTAGAAAAAGTGCTTAAATCATGTGTCCCAAAGTCATTAAAAACTTTATTTGAAAAATGTAATGTTGCAACCCCACTTAATGCAAACACACAATGATTGTAAACTAGAACAAAGTCATTTCTTTATTACCAGATCGATGATCACATAAGGTGGTATGCAAAGTTGCCCTCCTGAGCAGCTCGGTGGTTGTTACCAGTGTTTGCCTCATTGAACTAGGTCACATCAGGGCTCTTTCCTGGTTTTGCATGTAGGCATTTCCACCATGTGCCACTGAATATGGACACTTGCAGTGTGTGCAGAACACAGCATAACATCGTCAAATACTTTCCCAAGCAAGCTGTAACTCTACTGAAGCTCTTTCAAAATTGCTGACTACCTTTTTGGCATTTGGCTAGCATACCTGTCATTACGCGGCAGGTCCTGTTAGTTTGATAAGATAGGCTAGCTTAGCAACAGCCGCAACCCCTGAGATTCATAGACACATGCCCAGACAAATCACTATTGAACTTTGACTTTTTTTTTATGCCATTAGCTATATCGTGATGCCTTCTGCCTTCTGGACTTGCGGTTGTATAACACACCGAATGCTGACTAGTTTTAACCAGATGTAGAAGAGTGAAAATGGGTTTGAAATTCGAAAAAAACCAAAACACCTTTTTGTTGAAAAATATTTTGTCCTCCCACATTAATTAATCCTTCCAAAACTCATCTTCAGCATTCAAACCTGAAGTTAGGTGTGCTGTGCTAATGCATCCAAATGGCTGCAGATGTCCACACACAGTGTCTATGGGGAGATGGGCTTGTTGAAAAGGATGCCTGGTCCAAAAACACATGGGACATTAGATCACATCCTGTCTCCTCTTTTTTTGGCAGACTACTCTTCCACATTTGTATTTATCACTTGGATATTTTTGGACAACTCATCTCTCTCGTCCCCAAATGGAATTTACATGATAACATGATGACGCTGTTAACAAATCGAGGCAGGTTTTTCTTTCAGCTTGATAACATCTTATTTCAATACTCTTCTGCTCTTTACTGTTTTAGGATCCACTTTATGTTGGATAGCAGCACTGTTTGAGCTGTCCAAGATAAATATCTGTTTGAAGTTATCAGGCTTCTTATTTCAACTCTGTGATTACATTTTTACTCAAATCAAGGTGGGATAGGGATGTTTTTGTAAAATACAGACCTTACCAAACTTGACCACATTGAGCTATAACAACACAAACTGATGGTTTGATTTGAGGCTGAACAGACCTGCTTTGTGAAGGGAGGAAAATACATTCTTGGAATTAAAAATGAAAAAAAAAGGAAAGAATTTGTGTTTTTGGCTCCTGTTCAGGTCAAAGCTGTTTCCCTTACTCGCCTCCCTTCCTCTTCACTCTCGCCTGTTCCCCTTCCTTTCTTAACTTTCCCCTTTTTCCCACTCCCACTATCTCTCACATCTGGAGTGTAGCTGGAGTGGCTGTGTGACTCCTCGAATGCTATGGGACAGCGTGTGTTTGGACTAGACGTCAGACTTCAGCGCCTTTCAGCAAACGTTGGTCACAAGGGGTAAAGTATCAAACCAGACTGTTGCTTTAGCAGACTTTACTGCTGCGTGTTTTATGGGTGGCTGTAATATTGCAAGGAAATATGAATGAGTTTTTATGTGTCAGCACATTCATCCATGCATGACAACTCTGGCATGTGCGTTTCAGACAATCCAGACCACTTAACAGAGCAGTAAAGCCACTTGACCACCTCTGCTCAGCTGAGAGGGAGCGTGAATACATGATGGTAACTCTTAAAATGCTCAACATCTCTTATAATACACACCACTTCCACTTCAAACATTTAAATTATAGCATTGCATGAGAGTGCTGTTGACTTTATGAAGGCTTAACACTCCTCTGTGACTCTTGGATTGTCTGTTTTTATCCTAGCCAAGGTCGATACAAGCTTTTATTTCTTGTTTCATGGGTGTGTGCATGCTGCTGTTTGGATTTTCTGTTGCTTGAGCTTGTGTGTGTATGTGTGTGTGTGTGTGTGTACGTGTGTTCACTGATGACTTTGTGTCATTGGGAAAAGGCTCTTTTGATAGATGGCTTTCAGTTCAGAGCCTTGAATTCTCATTTTAATTGTGTTTTTAATCGACATATCTAGAATGTAATTGGGGCTTTATAAACTTGTTTGCTGACAAAATACTCCTGCCTCCTTTTGTGCTTGTGTGAAGGCCAGATCCAGGTATTTAATTTATAACTTTTAAGTTTTTCCTTTATTAGATGAATGTTTCTTTTGTGAGCCCTTTAATGTGACATGGTTTGAAAGCAAAAGAGATCAGGTTGTCAAGGATGATGCTTATGTTCTTTCATATCAGTCCTTGCAGTTAGTGAGACCTGAAGCTTCACACACAGCAGAGAGAGAGAGAGAGAGAGAGAGAGAGAGAGAGGAGACAGCTGTTATTTGTTGTTGTCCTGATGTGTCTTGGGGGGTATTTGGGGGCAGCAGTAGCTCAGTCTGTAGGGACTTGAGTTGAGATCCGGAGGGTCGCTGGCTCACATCCCGGTGTGGATCAAAATGTGGAAGCTGGTCTGGTTGCTGGAGTGGTGCCCGAGTACTGCTGATGTGCCCTTGAGCAAGGCACCAAACTCCCAACAGCTCTGGCATGCTCAGTGTTTTTTAGCAGGCCGGCCCTGACATTTCTCCGTTAATGCATGTCCATCAGTCCTGTTTGTGCATGGGAGTAAAAAAACCTATGTTTTAAATAGACATTTCTATCCACCCAGTAGAAAGAGCCCTGCAGGGATAGACCAGTGTTTGGTGGAAATGAAAGATAAAAAGTTGAAGAGAAATGATGCAGTACATGACACATAAATAGCTTGAAGCAGATAAATGTTGGCTCTGCTCGCTTTAAAAAGCTGCTCAGAGATTTAGTTAATCATAATGATGGGGCGCTTGACAGAGCTTTGTTTTTAAGTGTCAGAAAGGGGCAGAAGAGGAGAAACAATTTGAATATGGACCACTAGTAAGTGTAAAATAGGTGTCTTTATGTCCTATGTGTCTGACAAATGACACATTGTTGCAGAGACTTTCTGTAACTTTTAATTAAGTCTCACATGTAGCTGAACCCAGCTGACGATTACTCTACTGATTTAGGCCCTTTCACTCAGCTTCAGGTCTGCCAAACATTTGATGAACAAAGGTTTCTTTAACATATTTGAATGGAGGACTAATTGATTGGGAAGATAAAACCTCTGAAAGTCTGACCTATTGGTGTCTCTGTTGTAGCTACTCCTGAAATTAGGTAATGTCCCTGAATGGGAAAATTCTTGTCAATTGTGTCCAATTTTTAAACAAAATTGCAGAAAGTCATGGATTTTTGTTCATGACCTCCTGAGTTGACATATTTTCGGTCAAATTGTGCTGAAGTATGGCATATAAAAGAAACTTGGTTTAAGAGTAACAAAGATTTAAAGATCAGAGAGATTAGAGAAAACAGGCAGGAAATTGAACCCTCTGAAGAAGCCTGTGAATGCAGTTCCTTTAAGGTCACTGCAAATGTCCGCATGCAAACATGTTCAGAGTGATAGTGTGGATGTTAACGATGAGCTGGTCTAATTTTAAGCATGTTTCTGTAAGTTTAGTAGATGTGCACACAGGCTTCATGTTTGTTGGTTGATATTTACTCAAAGGAAGGATATGTGTCTCTGATATCGTTCAAAATGGGTACTGTAGTCCAAAATTCAAAACATTGGAGAGAGATGTCTCCCCCTGTCCCCTCCTCCCTTGATGAGATGTGCATGCACGTTGCCATGATACTGAAGCTTCAGTGTTTAGCCAGCTCTGCATCAGTCTGTAAACCTTTCTGCGCTCTAACATCTCTCCATTTTTCAAAAGCATCTTCAATATCTATCCTAGTTTGAGCACGTTTCTGCTCATAGAGTTTATTAGAAACATGCAGAGGCTTTTTAGGTCAGGTTCAATCACTTCTATCTGAACCACTTCTCTCTCCCACTTCCATCGCTGCAAAACCTGTTGGTTTGCTGTGATAACTGGTCTCATATCTGGCAAACCGAGGGGCGTCCAAAACGGCCGTGTGTGTGTGTGTGTGTGTGTGTGTGTGTGTGTGTGTGTGTGTGTGTAGGAGGGTGCCTTAAAACCGCCTACCTTCTCTGGTCCAAACAAATCCAGACCATTCAGGACCAGAATCTAAAGTTAGAAGGAGGACATACTGGCTGCTGCATTGTTATCAGAGAAGCCAGCACTTCAACATAACATGTTTCCTTAATGTCTGATCATATAGTAAGGTCACTTAATGATTTAATTCAGTAGATATCTTACATATTGTTCCTTTAAAATCAGCCAGTTAGAGCTGCGTATTCATCACAAACTGTGAGCGTCATACTTGATAGTTAAGTTATAATATTTTCTCTGTTTTTCTCACCCTATATGCTCATATGACAATTAACTTTTCAATGAAATTATTTTGTAAGGATTCTTCATAATCTCCACCTTTTATTCTGAAAGCCAGACAACTATTCTTAAAAAACTTGAAATTAGAAAGTTTCAAAGTATTAAACTTTACTTAAAATGTTCCCTGCACTCTAAACCATGTAAAGAGATTTCCATTTGCCAATATATTTCTACCATTTCATCCTTTGTGGGCTCTGTTTCCCCTGCAGCCAAAGAACAGATTACCTCCCTGTGGCTCCCAAAATTGATTTTGACATGTTAAATCGCTGCAGTATCACTTTAAAGTAACCATACACAGCTTTTTGCCCTGAGGCTGAAGCAGGATTGGGTTTCTCTCCATCCATGCTGGCGATTTGGATCCGTCAGTCTAGAGAGCTGTTACTTCTCAGAAACAGTTTTCAGGTTCAAGGCTATAAGGTAACTAATGTTATTAAAACCATCCGAGTGTAACCACTCGTCAATATATGAACAAAACCTCCTGCTCTGTTTTGGTAAATACTTTAATACTTTTCCTCTGGCCTGCTGCTTGTGTTTTAAATCCTCAGAAATGATCTGAATTGACCTTTGATGAGTCAGCAGTGAGGAGAAGGGAAACAAAAGCTTTCTTCTTTTTTTTTTTTCTTAAAATAACTAAATCAAATGGTGTTATTCAGCTGTGTTTGTTGTGAAGCATCAGCTACGCTATTTTAGCGGCTAAGCTGACCTAGTTTGACCCTCGATGAATGTCTTGAGCGTGAGCAGAAATAACTTCTTTAAACAGTAATGGTACCAGTCTTGACATTAAGGTCATAAAGAAAATGCACTTTAGCTTTAAGGTTTTCCACTTCAGCTGACTTCATCACTAGAAGTTACATGAACTCAAAAATACAATTGTTGCACTTCTGATTATCACAAGTGTGTTTTGATTATTTTGATTTAAATGTCAATCCCTGCAGAGGGTTTGTTAGGACCAGTGAAGAAGAAACGGAGGGGTTTACTTGGAATGGGGTTTATTGCAGACAAAGGGAGATGGGTTGATGATTCTGGAGGTTTGCAGGGTGAAGGGGAAGCTGGCTGACCAGATAGGGTAGGGGTGTGACCGTGGCTGATGGAGGGGCTTTAAATCCAGAGGGCCGGTTGAGGCCGATGGCTGAGCAGGAAGGTCGTCTACTACAGCAGCTGACACACCGATCTCGTGAGTGGTTGGAGAGTTGAGGTATATTTACTGCTGAGTTGATGAGTTGATGGAGAACAGGTGTGCAGGTCTGAGGAGGTGGATGGAATGAACAGTCATCAGGAGGGAGCCACAGAGTGTTACTGGGAAAACCACGCCCAAACTCACTCACTCACATACACACAGACAGGCTGACAAAAGAAAGCAAGGAGGAGCTGTTGAGAAGGCCAGAGCCGTGACAGAGTTGGCCTGAAATACTTTAACAACAGTTAGTAAGACTGCAGAGAAACAGATGCTTTGACGTTCATGATTCCCAGAGGATAAGTCATTATTACTCAGGACCACTAACCTCTGCGTATACCTCTGCTTTACTCCTTCAGAACTTCTGAAATTCAAAACTACATCAGCTTCTCTAAGAGCTAATGTAACCACGCTAACATGCTAATCAGCATCACCATGGTAAACTTTATACCTGCTTAATATCAGCACTACACAGAGCTGATATTAAGAAGATATCCTTTAAGAAGAATAACTGAGAAAGTAATTTGGGGATTGATGGCCTCAGATGACTGAAATAACGAACACACTCGATTCCTAGGCGCCCATCAGAGCTCCTGTGATTAACCTTTGGTTTGAATTTTGGCCACTTCTGTCATTCTTTCAAAGGAAAAAGCACATTCTGTTTTCATTAAACAGTCAGTTGTCTCATTGTGAATCATTTCTGAGAAAAATCCAAATCAACAACAGCTGTTTCAGCGGTGTGCCGTAAATCTCTTCTGACACCTACCCCGTGGCAGAGGTAACATTTAGCAAAAATGACGATATGAGAATTATCCATCTTTATGCTGATGGTCTCACCTGTTTTTGGCATCTAAGCATCAATTTTAATTTCAGTATATTTCATAACCTCCTAAAAACTCCTCACAGGAACTCGTAAGAATAAAGGGAGACGAAACCAAGCAGCAGCATGCACAAGTGCTGTTGTTGGGGAAGTGCAAAAAACTGCAGTTCCTCTCGTGTCCAGTTGAGGGTGGCAGCAAAATCCCAGGAATCCTTATTAACGACCATGTTAAAATGCTAACTTTAAAGCAGACATAAACATGTTTACAGCCTGGTTCAACAAACAGCCTTAATCTTAAGAAATCATGTCTTTATTAGTACTCACTGTAATGATTTTTTTTATTACTCATCCATTTGATTTTATTAAGTAAAAGAGTTCTGCCATATCAGGCCGGGAGGCAGAATATCAGGTGGGCTGTGAAGACAGCGCAGTGATTGTTTCAGCATCTTGTATTCTTGCCATGTGTCACGAGTGATTCTGGCAAGAAAACCCACCAACCGGTTTCCCTGCTCAGCAAGCACAGGGATCACCAATCATCATCACCAATGATTCAGGAGCTTCATCACAGCGTCAAAATATTTATTTCAGAAACTAAAAGTTGATTTTAGTTTCCTCTGGAGCGTTTCCTCTGCGCTGTCAAGGTCATATCTACAATTTTTACATTTCTGCTAAACAGTGCTGTGATTTATTTTCTGCTATGGCATTACTCTGTGCATGGAAACGTTTAAATACTGAAAGCATGCATCAAGTATATTGTTATGGAACATACTGTATACAAGGGCTTCATGTGTACTGGATCCTGCCTTCCTGTTGAAGTGAAGACGCTTGTTCATATAAATTAATGAAATATTATTATAGTATGCGCTGCAAACCATAAACAGCTGTTACCTCACACCTCCATTAATTATTTCAAGTAATTATTGTGAATGCTCCGGTTAATGAATGTAAATAAACATCACTGTTTGTGATGACAGTTTTGTAGTTATGAACATAATGGAGACACGCATAATGAGGACACTGGAGACGCACATTAGGTGGTAATGTATGTGGTCAAGCGCTATAAGAATACAATCTGATTATAGAAAATGTAATTTAATGCCAGGTTTAAAGGGGTCTACTACATCATCCAGCTGAGACTACATGTCTGTAGTTATGTATGATGAAACATGCTACATGTAAGTATAAACCAATGAGAAATCAGCGATGAGAGCCAATGGAAACTTTCCACAAACTTCATTTTGCTATCATGAAGTGGTTATAGTCAGTATTTTTAATTGTGAGTGGATCACATGATACTGCTGCTGGTAACAAAACCAGCGAGGTATCAACCAACCCTGCATTTGTTTTTCTTTTTTATGGAGAGTTTTAGCCTCTTTCAGCTAATCGTTTTGATTATACAGATGCCTTATTCAACAGCAAACCTTCATCAGATGCTGCAGTATGTTGCAGTATGATAGTTGCATGGACTCAATTTAGAAAATTTCAAAAACATCTAAAACTGCTTAATTTGGACAGAAAGAAAAATGTCAGATCAAGGCTATGATAGGTTTTCTTTCTAGGAACAAAATATTCTGTGACCTGATATGTTTAACATTTCTGCCTTCATGCAACAGAAGAGCTCAGCAGTGGACATGGCCTTTCTCAAGCATTCCATCCTGCAGGCCCTGAGTGTGCTGCTCTTGGCCGGGGTGTTGGTGCGCTGCCAGGCCCCTTTTGAACCAGAGGAAGAGGAGGAGGATGACACCAACATCACACCGGTGGTGACGAAAGCTGAGCCGTTCGAATGTCCGGCGAAGTGCAGCTGCACGGCAGAGGGGGCAGTGGACTGCGCTGGAGTCGACCTCACAGAGTTTCCCCCAGAGCTGCCTGAGGAAACCCGCCAGTTATCTCTGCAGGTCTTCTAAACATCACACATAGTTCTGAACAATAACACAAATCCATGTCTTGGTATTTCTGCTCAGATATGAAAAGAAGTTACAACAATACGAGTCCTTGAGTTTGTTTTAACTCTCTGTGTTTGGTCCCTGATCTCAGAACAACAAAATCGAGGAGATAACAGTGGAGCATATTTCCCATCTGCATCAGCTTGAGACGCTCAACCTTCAAAACAACTGGCTGACCACAGACGGTAAACGCAGTAAAACTATCTAAACACGAAGCAGGAAGAAGTGGTTGTGTTTAGTTGCCCTGCAGCATGTCAAAGCCTTTAAATGTCGGGTGAATTTGGAACAAGTGTTGTTGGGATAAGATGTTTTTCTGCCAGCGATGGTTTTGTAAGAGGAGCTTTTGTTTGGTTTAAGTCAACATCGATTTTTCTTCATTTTTATGTCAGCAAAATCTTTTCAAATAGATCCACCCAATGTGGTTTGTTTAGCCTACTTTTAACCATTGCCCAATTCAACGGCTCCTATTACAACAGACTCTGCTCTAAGTCGATACTCACATCCAGGAAATGGAGGCAAACTGAGGAGGGATTCAGAATCCATTTCTGAGGAAGGGAACATTTTGAAAGTGCTCTGCTGCTCGAGATCAATGTCTGTAAAGGGTTTTTCTCTTGTTTGGGATCTGCCAATCGAAACATCATCTAAAAAACAATAAATAGCAAGAGATGTTAGGTCTCTTGCTAACAGCTGTTTGTAGCTGAGGCTTAAGCCTTTGTTGTTTCTACTATCTGTCTGTCTGGCTGAATGCCTCCTGGTCATTTCCATTTTCATCTGTTTAATAATGCTTTTATGACAAACAGATTGCTTTGGGGATTTTTTGCTTTCCTTGCCAGCTGTGGCCACCACCGGCTTTTTGTTTGGATGCAAACTCTCTAAAGGCAGCTTCCCAAATAATTTGGGATTACAGGCACAGTGTTGTAATAGTTTAGCTAATAGAGGAATTAAAAGCAACAATGCCTCGTTGGAAGCGATTTTGAGAGAGAGAGCTCCATGTGGTTTGTTTACCTGACTTAGAGTGTACGAAAAAAAATCTTGATGAGCATTTTCTCTCAAGGCATCGGATCTGCTCTAAGTTAGGTGGACTAACCTTTGCAATACATGCCCTGTCATGTTGTTACCCCGACAGTGTCGGGGTCAATGTCCAGATCACTGTGTCCCATGGACTTGAACCAGAAGAGGTCAACTTCTTTTATCCACTGCAACCCCAGAGGGAAAATGTATTTCCAAGTTTTATTTATTTTGGCTATTCCTTTAGACAGTGGATAGAATAGAGTATCGGGAGAGGGACATGTGAGAAAGAAGCCACAGGTCACACTTTAACTAGAGCCGCCAGCTTGGAGGAGGGGCGCGTCCTAACAACTAGACCATCCACTCCACTGAAATAGTTAAATACATAATCAAACTTTAAAATTGAGTTCTCAAACTGACCTTATTCTGTCTCTATCCAAATTCTAAAGCCCTGGTAGGTTGCTGTTAAATATGAGTTTGGTTAGGCTTGAGGTTTCTGCCTGTTCAAAATAAGTTTAACGCCACTGTTGCAGAGTGCCTGATCATGGTTGATTTTAGTTAGTTCTCTGTAAATGGTATTAAAAAATGTACAGTCACGACCTGCTGTGTTTGTAAAGTGAGATGACATTTGTTATGAATTGACGCTATGCGGATGAAAATGTATTTATTTATAGAATCTACTTGACAAAGCTGTGATATTTTCTGCATTAATGTCTGAAAACATTACAACAAAGATGGACCTTAGTGGTTGCTGTGCTATTAGCTTTTTAGTGTTTCATAGATAGAAAAAACAAACAGAATCAGCAACTTACCTCACTGAATTGAAAACATTCAGAAGCAGTGAATTCATGTGACTCTGTTGTTATTGTTGATGTATTAACTTACAGATGTGCATATGGATAGTAAAACCATTGATAAACTTGTATTAAAAGCTTAAAAGCCACTAATTAAGTCACTGATTATAAATATTCAAGTATCGGACATGACCAGTTTGCAAAGTAAGTGGTTTGCATGATGCGGTTTAAATTGTGCAGAGTCCATTAGTCTATACCAAGTTGATAATATCCTCAGAGATGTATAACAGTGATGACGTTGAACATCTACAGATGACTCAAAAAACTTTTACTTTCTGGTGAGCAGTCCTATAAGGACAAGGCCTTGAATCCTGCAGTAAAGCTTTGGTTCAAATATCTGTTTGATCTAAACTGTAAGATCTAGATAGAGGTTGATATTCTTGTTTATTGACTTTTGCATGTTTCCCCTTTCCAGGCATTCAAGATGAAGGGTTCGAGATGCTGGAACAGCTGGCTTACTTATATTTGGCAAACAACAAGGTGAGTCATGATTGTACTTTCAAATGTTTGTTCTCAGCGCTGATTCCAAAAACCCACTCACATGGTGGAATTGCATGATTATCTCCTTTGTGTCTGTCTCACATATATTTTACTCTATTCCATTGTATTCTTATCCACTGACACAGTGCCAGCTGGCAGAGATGGGTGGCAGCCTCGCCTCGTACACTCTGTGTGAGCTTATGCTTGTAATCACTTCCAGTATGGCTGTGCCAGCTGGTCAGAGCTAAAATGTTACTGACCCTTTTGGACAGAGAGCGGCAGAGAGAAAAGATGGACAGATTTGTTTGTGCCTTCACAGAGATGAATAGGCAAACAGGAAGAATAGGGGATTTTTAAGTGCTCACTAAGCCTCAAAGACACCCATGCTGCTTTAATCCATAAACCATGTTATAAAGAAGAGAGCTTTAAATGAACATCTAATCTCAACAGTGCTTCCCAGATTGCTATATTCTCTGCACAATGCAGTGCTAGTAGTGGTAGCAGTGACAAAAGTGAGGGCGACCTTGCTCTGAGGTACACAGCTGGCCATTTCTGCTTTTTACCAAACTGAATTGTGCCTGCTGCTTTGGTTAGGACAGACTGGTTGAATCAAAGCAAATATTTGAAAGGTTAGGGGAAAAAACCCCAACAACTTTCCCATTCAAAATAATCCAGATGGCTGCCATAACTTTAAGACAAGGTTTTGGTTAGATTCAGAAGAATTTTAAGTTTGTGATCAAGCATGGAAACAACCACAGCTAACCCTGCCAGCTATTGTAGGCTAAAAGGAGGCACAGTGTTGCTTTGAGATGCTAATAACGTGCTAATAATATTAGTATGGCAACATGGTTATATTAACAATAATGACATGCTACTTTATGTTAGGCATATTTTCCTGTTGTCACCATCTTTTCCTGTGATTAAAAGAAAAAACAATATTTCCCCACAGGAACAGCTGTTGGTGGGATTATCATTAGTTCTGCAGGAAAAAAGGAAAGTATTACAAATAGGCAGCACTTTAGAGTAATGGTTAGCAGTGTGGACCACAGCAGGAACGTTGGCTTTGAACCAGTCAGCATTATGTGTGGGTTAAGCTTAAAATCAAACATTGATCTTCTAATGGTTAATACCGTGAAACTTCAAATAAAAGCCTATCCCAAATTTAAGGCCCAGTTCCTTTTAATTGCCTGGTGTTGCCATACATTTTGACATACAGGCAGGACCATATGCATCTTGTGTCAAGATATTTTGTGGATCAAAAATAGAGAAAAAGCAGCTCAACAGAAAAACCAAGAAAAACAACAGAATCATTTTTGTATGTGATAATTAATAGCCCATTACTTATTGATGCATGTTCCCAATAAAGGCAGGGTCATTAGACTCAAGTAAAGAAAAGCTCAGGCTATGAATAGATGTTTTATTGTATTGGACATTATGGGAAAACCAAATAATTTGGACTGGGATTGCTCTGGGTACCCTTTATTTTTGTACCAAACATAAATCTTTAGAACAGTTAGTTCAAAAGAGAATTCCCTCAGGACTCCATCATCAAAGTCGTCTGCACTTTAAAGGTTTTAAGATAGGTAAAAGCACAAAGGAAGAGGACCAGGATGTACTTTTTTAAAGTTAAATTTAATGAACAAAAAGAGAAGAGTCAGGGAAAAATCTAAATCATAAGGAAACCACAAGGTCAAACAAAGGTGAAAGAGCAGCAAGGAATCCCAACCTCCTCCCACCAATGTTTAAGTATCAATATGACAAATTCACTCTTCCTCTTAGATATAAAATTAACTCTTCACACAACAACTCAAGGTTACTTTTTACTTTTTAAATTTTTTTTTTTACTGATGATGCAAATTGAAAACTCTTAAATCCTCCTTACATTTGTACAGCAACGTTTTTGTAACAGTGTCCTGTTGTTCTTCTTTCCCTGTTTCGGCAGCTCACGTCAGCACCCATAGTCTTACCTCCCTCTTTGGTCAGCGCTGATTTTGCTGCTAACCAGCTTACAAAGATCTTCCCATATACATTTGGTCATAAACCCAAACTAAGGTACTATGTGTGTGTTTATGTAAGTCTACATGTTGTTCATGGAGTTATGTCCTTAGACACATGGTAATTTTCCTCGATTGTGTCCCAGGTCAGTGTATCTCCATAACAACAAGCTGAGTGACGCAGGGCTTCCGGAACATATGTTCAATGCTTCTGACAATCTGGAGATCCTCACCATGTCAAGCAACTTCCTGCGGGTCGTCCCGAGGAACCTGCCCTCCTCTCTATACCGTCTTCATCTCAAGGTCTGGATGTTGTTAAGTTGGCATGTTGGTTTGATGATGTAAACACTGTCTCTTCTCATTCATGAGTCTGGTAATGATGATGAAATAAGGTTTCTTCCTTCTGTTACAGAGCAACAAGCTGGAGAAAATCCCAGCGGGAGCCTTTGACAACTTGTCAAACCTCAGAGAGCTGTATCTCCAGAACAACCTCCTCAGCAACGAGGGGATGGACAACGAGACTTTCAGGTGGACAAAAGCCCATGACAAATTTACATGACAAGCATCTCCATGACAATGCCAAGTGTAAAAAAAGGGAAAGCCTTGATTATAGTAGCCTAAAGCTGTTCAAGGGCAACAAGGGCACCCAATACCGTGACTGTGAATTCTCATGTTGCAGCATCGCAGAGAATCATATACAGTATAGGATGAATGAACTGATTTAATGACTTCCTCTCCCTCTCTCCTGGCAGCCAATTGAGCAGTCTGGAGTGTCTGGACTTGTCAAATAACAACCTGAGTGTCGTCCCCAAGGGTCTGCCTCGCAATCTAGTGCTGCTACACCTGGAGAAGAACTCCATCCGCAGCATCCCTGGAGATGCTCTCACTTCTGTTCGAAACCTCGAGTACCTGCTTCTCCACAATAACCAACTCCGTTCACGTTCCATCCACCACGCTGCCTTCCAGGTGCATTTTTTATTCCATTTCATTTTCTGGGTTGACAACAGACTGGTGGTGAAAATATGCCCGATTACATTTGAATTTATAAAAACTAAAGATAGATAACCTTTTGACCCTTTCACTTGCATTTTCATTAGGGCTTGAAGAAGCTGCACACTCTCCACATGTACAACAACTTGTTGGAGCGCGTCCCCAGGGGCCTGCCTCGGAGGGCCAAAACCCTAATGATACTCCACAACTCCATCTCTGAAATTGGCCGCAATGACCTTGCCCTGCTGTACACCCTGACCGAGCTCAACCTCAGCTACAACAAGCTGACCAGCCCCAAGCTGCACCGGGACGCCTTCAGGAAGCTGCGCCTCCTGGAAACCCTGGATCTGTCAGGAAACAGCCTTTACTCGCTGCCTATGGGTCTTCCCCGCAGCCTGCAGGTGCTCGAAATCAAGAACAACCAGCTGAACTCCATTCCAGACGGTGCACTGACCGGCATGGAGAAACTAAGTAAACTCATCCTGAGTGACAACCTGCTGAAACTGAATTCAGTGTACCAGGGAGCCTGGATGGAGCTCAGTGCGCTCAAAGTGAGTGGGCTGGTATGGGGAGAAACATGTAAATCATGTTCACTGCAGGAACTTAAGCTGTAAACTTACCATTTCAGGATTCTTGTGAGGCTATGTATACAGTTCGATTTTGCCATTTCACATTATATACAATTAAGATGGTAAAGAGTTTGGGCTTATCATTAAAAGATAGTTCAAGCCACTTAAAGCCTTATTACATTGTGATATAATCTCTGATTAACACAATAATAAGCACAAAATAGTATGAAAATTTTAATACAACCCAAAAGTATAATTGTAGTTTGTGTAAGCTTAGTTGATATCTGATTTGAATTGGGCATGGTAAAGTTCAGACAGTGATGCATTTAATTCCAGGAAGTAATTGAAAGAACATATAGATGACAGCTTTTTGACTGTTTAAACATGGCATTAGCATTGCCCGCAGGTAACTAGAATTTGCCTGGGCTGAAAATTGTGAACAGTGAAGCACTAATTCCTACTGTAAATTGATCATTTGGCCTTGCATTCCTGCTTTGAAAACAAAAAGGGCTACATTAGTGTGTCCATGTTAACTGCTAAATCTGATATGGAAAGCAAAGCATCCTCCTCTGACTCACACAACTCAAATTATTGTGATTGGGAGGCAGTACCTCAATCCTGACGCGGACCATAATATGGAAGTTGGTCTGGTAGCTGGCACCAAACCCCCAACTGCTCTGTTGCGCTCCCTGCATGTGTAGCAGCTCCACTCTGACATATTTCCACTAATGCATGTCCACAGGTCCTGTTTGTGCTTGTGTGTGATTTTGCATGTCTCTCAATATCAGAGTGTAAAACCAGACTTTCCCTCAGGGATTAATAAAGTATAAAACATTCAAATTGAAAATGAGATAATATTGAGTAACATAATGAGCTGTCTTCTCATCTAGTTTTTCCGAATCGTTATGAAAGTTTCTCTGGCATTTATGTGGAGTCTAAATGAGGCGCTCATCTTTGTTCTTTGCATTTTTACACAATTTTATTCTTTTTTGCAATTTCAAGCCATATTCCCAGAGGCTTTAATCAAACAGAGGGAGCATTAGGGCTGATACTGTGAAAAATGCAATACATTTTATTCTGAGTCTACACAAACAAAGGCTACAACAAAAAACACAATACAGAAAACTCTGATTGCTGTCACATGCCCTAAAACAACTGTGAGTGTATTTGCTCCATTTTCTTTTTTGGTTTGCTCGACTGCATTGGAATCTGTCATTTCTGTGTAACCCTGTGTGTTCACTCTCATTTTCCCTGCACTCTTCTGTTTTTTGTGACTCCCCATTTCTGTCAGACATCCTTGTAGTGATGCGATGTTACATCTGCTAGACCAATTATGAGTGAAAGGACTCTCTGCAACCCCCTGAAACCTGGAAAGCCTATTTCAGTGACAGCTAGTGATTCTTTGCTGCTCTATTTATGGGATTGGACCTTGAAAAATGTTCAACTTTTGAAAAAAAAGAACACGAGAAAGGTATTGGTATTAAATTGGGTTAAAAAAAAAACAATTTGTTTTTTAATTATCCTTCATAGATGATTTGTATGTGCTGATCAGCAAGGGCCCATAATAATGAATTTAATCTAAAGTATAAAGCATCCTTTCTAGGAACGCTTTACACAGTGGCGTAACAAGACAAAAACAAGACTGAGACAAGTAACAAAGGATGGGAGTCTGATGGAGATGCAGGCTCATGAGAGGTTGTAGGCTCAGGTGAACAAATGGTGTTTGAGGAGTTTTAAAAAAAATGTGTCCAAAGATGGGGCATTGTAGACATCAGAAGGGAGGGTGGCCTAGAGGCTGGGGGCTGTGATGCTAATGGCCCAATCTACAAAGGTATGGAGTCTGGTTTGGGGGATGGAAAGTAGGCCAGTGTATGAGGACAGGAGGTTTCGGGATGTGGTGTTTGGTTGAAGGAGGTCAGAGAGGTACTGTGGGGTAAGGATGTGGAAGGAATTATAAGTCAGAAGGAGTCAGTGGAGGTGGATGAGGGTTAAGGTGGGTGAGGGTTGGGGTGATGTGCAGATGAGGACCCTGGCAGCGGAGTTTTGTACATACTAGAGTCTGTCCATGCCTTTGCTGGGTACCCCAGAAGTCAAGACCGGAGGTTATAAAGGCTTGGGTCAGGGTTTCTACCACTGAATCAGAGAGTGATGGCCAGAGTTGGGAAATATTTTTTAAATGAAAGTAGGCGGATTTGATGATGGACTCGATGTGGAAGTGGAATGAGAGGGTAGAGTCTAGGATGACACCCAGGTTGCAGAACTTGAAGGATGGATAGAGCACCCGTCTACATCCAGTATGAGATCTCCAACGTTTCTCCGCAGTGGGGCGACAACCATAAGATCGGTTTCATTTTTGTTTAACTTAAGGAAATTGGTTGACATCCATTTGTTTATGTTGCAAAAGATCTTCACAAGCTGCCTTGTTGACTTAAAAGGTACGAGTATAGAGGGTCTCCAGTGCTTACTTAAGAAGAATAATAGCTCTGTAGGGGGGACAGAACGTATCAGCAGGCATAACATCAATGTGTTGTCACGGAGAACTCAATGTAGTTTGCATTATAGTTTTTTGGCTGTATGCCTCTCCTTCAAAAACTTACAAATAATTTGCTCTGAAATTGAAGAAGAACAAGCTCTGACTCTGACTGAGGCTGTGGCCTCTTTCTTGAAACGGTATGGACCATTACTGACCACATTATTCTGTCTCAGAGGAAAACATTTCTTTGTCTGTTTGTTTTTGCCAAATGAAGATCCAAGAACTTTTGGCAAAAACAAATGGAGAACATTTTAAGAAGAATCTGAACCTGTAACAATAGGTCAACTCTTAGGTCTTACTCGTGAGGTTTCTTCTGTGGAGAATGGATAATAGTCACACATATAAAGTGTATTTATTATTATTTGTCCCATTTTACAGTAATAGATCACATATATCAAAGAGAAGATTCATTATTCATTCTGTATCTTGTAATTGTAGACGCTGGATCTGTCTGGAAACCAGCTGACTCACATCCCCTCTGACCTGCCAGAGTCTCTAGAGTACCTTTATCTGCAGAGCAACCGAATCTCCACTGTTCCAGAGTCAGCATTCGAAGGCACGCCCAACATCAAAGGCATATTCCTCCGGTAAGGGACACACTAACCCTTTCTTTTAAACCAGTCCAGATGATCGAAGTAATGCGACTCAGGCATGTAACTGATTATTGTCAGTCCTTTATTGTTCTTTATAAACACTCCTGTCATCCTTCATGAGCTTCTCAATGAACTCTTTCACCTCAAAGTAAGTTCAAAACAAATCGAGAGGAAAGGGTTCAATCTTACCTTCCTCAGGGCTTTACTGCACTCTGGTGAGTGACCCCTTACATAACTTTTCTCTCCATTTGGATTGATCTCCATGCAGGAAATGATTATGTAACTTTGACTGAGGACTGGCTGTGAGGAAGTTATTATTTAGTTTATTCTGCTCTGAGGCTCTCCAAGGGACAGCTGCAATCAGGTGGACTTACACCATTCTTTTCACTTGTTAAGAACCCATTTTTACAACCAGCTCACGGTGAGTCTGGAGAAAATGGGAAGTTTTTGTCTCTTGTGCTTTTTGATTTTTTCAGAGAGTTCACCGTGAACATATATCCTGTCTCTCAGACTCAGACAACTTTATAGTGTCACTTGTTAGCCCATAGCTAAGCACAATTAATGGAAACAGGGGTAAACTTGCCTTGCTCCATACGGGGATATTTGCTCCCAATAGCCCACCAATAATCGCTAAAGAGTTAATAATATGTTTTAGGCTAAGGTTACTATTTTTTCTGTATATATGTCAATCAACTAACATTGACCTGGCAAATAGTATGAATGGAACATTTAAGGGATCACAAAATATTTAGGATTAGTATTCCCCTGCGCAAATCTTTGTTTGCCACATTTGATTAGATTCAGGTACCAACACTTGGTAAATGTAGCAAAAGCAATAACTTTGGCTTCTAAATGGTGCACGAACAGAGGTCTGCTGTCCTCCTGCATTAACAAAAGATTTTGAGCAAAAAGCCATGAAGGCAACAAGAAGCAGCTTATCACAAGCACTGTAGTACTGCAGCTAATCAGAGCCCAGTAAGACTGGATAAGGTGAAAACTTTCTGACAGAAAAAAGGTGTCCAATAGTTAAAAAAAAAAAATCCCAGAAATTTTAGGCTCAATTATATAAGTTACTTCACTAAATACATTACATACAGTAACTAAAGATAATTGAGAAAACTATATGGTTTTAAGTCTCATTCTACCTGTTTGCCAGACATTGTAATTTCCAGAACCAGTCCCCCACTACTTTTAGTGGTTACTCCTTAATAATTACAGTTCGCACATGAAAGTGTAACTGCTCGCTCTGGGAAGTTTCCTGACTTTACCTTCTGGGTTCTCACATCGGCTCACGTTAACGTCACATAGACATTTTTACCAGGGGGCTGACAAGAAAAATTCTTGATGTCGTCCACATATCCAGCTCACCCTGAACATTTCAGTGTAATTTTTAGGAGTTTTGTGCAGGTGTGAAAACATCATTGACATCATTTAGTGAAACACTACAATGTGTGGTATCCAATCTTCTTCTCTTACTTGTGTGCATCCAGGACTTTTCCAACTCTGGATTATCCCACATAGTGCAGGCTTATACTTAAAAAACAGAGCAGCTGAAAGCAGCTGTCAGACAGCAGAGTAAAGAGGTGTCAGACAAGCATTTTCAAGGCTTTTGTTCTGTTTCTTTTTGTGTTCGTTCTTTGTAGTCTGACATCAACCTAGCTTCTTTATGTCCGCCTTGACCCCTTCCATGCCGTTGTACATGCCTTATTGTTCATATCAGCTGCCGCAACATTTTTTCCCTCCACCGATGGCCTGAGCAAATTTAGAGCTGCTCTAATAATAGTGGGGCAGATGTAAGGGGATTTATGCGTTTTCATTAGTAATTGCATCTTCATGGCATGTTGGTTAGTTGTTAAAATTTATTGGCAACATATGCAAGCACTTTGACTAATTAGAGTAGAATTGAGGCGTTTCAAAAGTGCTTTGTAGTAATGAGTAAAACACGTGTGACTTTATTTGATGGACTGAAAACATTAGAGTGGGTGCAGTGCAGAGAGACGTAACTCACAGATCTGAGTGTGGAGAGAAGTTATCATGTCTGATGTCTGTTCCTCCTGACAAATGCAATTTGTAAATGTCACCTGCTGTCTGTTAACCACCTCCTCTGTACATTTGAATTTCTGCTTTGAAAGCTCAGTCATTTTGTTCAGCTGTCAAGCCATGACAAAAGCTCACACACCTTCTTTTCTGTTCTCTGCTTTTAAGATTTAACCGCCTGTCGGTGAACGCTGTGGATGAGAGCTCTTTCGCACACCTGTCAAGTTTACAAGTTCTGGACATCGGCACAGGAAACAGCGACCTTCCCTTTAAAAAAGACGAGATAGAGGATGAGGAGGAGGAAACATAAGTCCTTCTCAATTAAACTGACATTGGACTGCATTGTGGTGTGGACGGGGAGGGTTTTAAAATGGGAGTGAACCTGTGATTGTCACTTCCCAGGTATGTGAATGCATTGTGCTGAGAGTTACATATTTCTGGTGCAGGATACCGGAGGAGTATTTATCATTATTTGGGCTGGTTTATGTTACATAATCTTTATATCTGTGCTAAAAAAGTATTTTTTTTGTCTAGTATGTTTTTGCGCTGTTTTGACAGAAATCAAAAAAATTATGTTTGAAAATGTCCAAGTAAACATTTCAGAAGCAATACCAACCAATGTATGCAGTCAAAAAGGATTGTTATTCATTCTGTGTCCCTCTTTCACTGCCTCCTGTTGTTTTTTTAATGGCTGCTTCATCTCTATGTATTGAAAAAATACACTTGACAAAAAACATTGAACATTTTGTTTTGCAAGGCTTTAGAAGCATTACTCCCACTGACACAAACAAAGTTGCAGCAAAAACTCTCAAATAGGGCTGCATTTCAGATTCCTATACATTTATCCAATGTTTGGTTTACAAAAGATCTTTTCATCCGTTCAGATGACAAAATTGAGAAAGTATAACACAAACCAAAGGGATGTTTCAAATTGCTTATTGCTACAATATTAATGCTATTATGCTTATTTTGTCAAATCTACAATCATCATTCCAAAATGTTAAAATAATACAACAGGAAGTAAAGCCTCATATGGCCTCTGTTTTCCTGTGACAATGAGTCATTTCCAGTTGTTACTTTCTCAAGATCTCCTCATATTTATGTCATCATATGAGAAAATGCAGGTTTTCAGATGATAACAAGTTATTTTCTCTATATTTTTAAGGGTAAGGTCACATATCATCCTCCTTTTCAACAATGTTAATAAGTCTTAGAGCTCCCCAAAACATGTCTGTGTAGTTTCTTGTTCTAAATCCACTCTGATCCTGTATTTGATCATGCCTATAAACCCCTCTATTTCAGCCCTGATCAGAACAGGCTGTCTCTGTGTCTGTAGCTTTAAATGTAAATGAGCTGAAAAACACATTTGATCATGAGTTCAGTATATCTAACAAATCAGCAAGGACTTCAATCTTAAGCGCCATTGTTTGACCTGACAAATGATAATCATTACCAAAATGATCCCACATTACTTTTCTTTTAAAAGACTTAAATTGAATTGAAAGCACTGTCAGCACCAGGGGTGCCAGCAGGATTAAAATTGTCTTAGTACACATAACCAGTTCCAGTGTGCATGTAGGGCACCTTCATCTTCTAAGTTTCCACACGCAAATACAAGATCAGATCACAGTGGCTGAGTGAGCGAGAGAACGAGTAAGCAAGTACATTAACACTACCTATGCAACACCAAAACACCACAAGTAGCCATGCAGTCAAACATGAAGTGAAGTTTGTATTGAGCTTATATAGCCTGCAAACAGAGTCAGATACTCTTTGTAGCTTATCAGCCTTAATAAAGCTGATGTCACCTGGATAAGATGAAGTAACACACCGAGGCTGTTTCCTATGTGTAGGGAAAATATTAGAGTTTTCTGGGCTTGGAAAACATGATGGGATGTCTGCGATCCTAGATTGCTCCCTGACTTCATCATGACTTCATCATGACTTCATCATGAACCAGCTGTTCTTCTGTCGTACCACAAATGCTAGCTGTGCTAACATTAGCAGAGTCTGTACACACACAGTCAACATTATTTATTATATTTAGTTGCAGAAACGTTTTGCTATAATAACCCTTTACTGTAAGTCATAAGTTAAATTACACCAATCGTGTTTGCGCCATGATGTTGGTGAGTGGACGCAGCCAAAGACTCACTCATGAACAGAGAGGATAAAAGGAATAGAAAATAACTAAACAAAATAAATCTGCCATTGTCATAGTTTTGTTTTCACAGGAGAAAATTATACTGGTAAAAAATGTACGAGCATTACTGTCTGTAGCTTTAAATGCAAATGAGCTGTGTTTGACTATGCCCCTCTCATGAAGGGCTTGGGTGCCCTTGGCTTTCTCGCACCATGCCCAATTAAAGAGTATCTTGGCAAAAGGTGGACTCAGAGGGCAGAACAAACACCTAGTTGTGGGAATGTCACCAACCTGGGGGAGGGGTTACTGCCCTTTGTGATGTCATGGAGGAAAATCTCCAAACAGCCTGTCTGAGCTCACATTTTCTGAAAAGTGGAGCAGGCAAAGGCCGAAGAGGATAGGGGCACATATTAGTGTTGGAAAACCATGGTCAAGTGTATTTTTGCTAATATGTGACCTTTAGGGTATAACAGATACATAACCAGTGCAGTATTGGAGTAACACCAATGATTAGGACGCAGTAGAAATACCAATAATGTGGATATTTTTAATATAATAATCATCTTTAAGTTTTTTTGCCACACGCTTTTTTATGTAATATTTAAAACCTTCAACAAATACCAACTTTTCTGAGGCTTCAGTCTTCTGCTGCTGCTACTTCTGTCAACTCTGTTTTTTTTCTTGTTTTTTTTTAAAGATAGCAAATATTTTTTATATGACATTTAAATACTCATCCTGTTACAATCACAGTTATGTTGTTAATACAGTGTCACATACAGCAGTATATTATGATCACATATACAGTCATTGAACACAGCAATAAATTATTATTTAAAAAGGCTGATGAAGATTGTGCGTTTTCTCACTTTCACCAGAACATGATCTGATCAGTATTTCTGTTCACATGGGCGCCGTCACTGCTTATTTCTTCTTTGTCTCAAACACTCAGACAAAGTGCTGATAATGCTCAATGGAGCAAAAAAAAATCATGGAAAAGAAAAAACACATTTCAGAAAACCAACACTCCCGAGAGAAAGGGTTTACATCCTGTTCTACATCAGACCACAAACCGCTCTTAATGCACTGCCAAAACACAAGTAACTTTATAGTTGACCAGGATGAATCGGAGTCTTTTCATATAAAATGTCCATCAAAAGTCTGAGTATAATAGAGCTGTTCAGATTGTCCCTCTTTGGACTTTGAAAATTTGAAAATTCAATACATATCATGATGCAGGGCTTATGATATAATATAAAACGATGTAAACTGATTTTGTAAGGGTCGGGATATATTGCAAGATTTTAAAAACTTTAGAAAAAAAACCGTCCTCAAATCATCACGTGATATAGTCATTGAAAAAAATTGCATTAGTTTAAAGATAATTTCTCACAAACCTAAATACATGTTTCCATGCTCATACTGAACATATGCAGTCACCGAAACGCTAAAATAGTGTTCAGACTGAAAATTGGTGATTTTAGAACAAACTGTAACAAGTGATGGAAAAGTGCTTTTTGAGGTTCAGCCAGTGCTTTTTTTGAAGGTTGATTAATCTGACTAGACCAAATAAACGGGTATCCTCTGTGTCCACAGACAACTCTTTTTAGGTCGGCAGCACCCACACCCTTCAGAGCTCTTCTCACCAGCGCTCATTGTTGCTAGGTTACAAAAGTTCACTTCTGCTTCCCTTGGTAATGTCTGTTAGGTGTGTTTTAGATAGCTCTGTGTGCTTAATATGGGCTTTAATTGGAGGAAATATCACCAAGACAACATGAAAACGATGCAAAAGAGTCGTGTCTTGGCATCTGCAGCAGCTCTACACCTTGAAATTGTGCCCTTGAAAAGGTGAGTCAGACTAGTGTCTCCTCCGACATTGTTGTTGACAAAGTGGAGTTTTAGTGCTCAGGAAGGTGAGAACTGAAAACGCTGAACTACATTGGTCTTGTATTGAAAACAATTGTGCCAGCGTAAAAAAAACGCTGTTCAGGCCCTTATTGTGAAGCTCATCGAAGAACATTTGTGCTAAAATACTTAACTTTGATGTTAATTTTTGTGCTCTGCATTTAAATGTAGAATGTGTGACTTTTTGATCCAGTAGATGTCACCCTTCAGCACCAGCATGAAACCAAAACAAACACCTCCGCCATGCTGAAAGCCTCTTCCCTCCTCCAGCGACACACCTCCAACCCCACTCCCCTCGCGTTTGTCCTTGATTGAATCTGCAATTGCCTTTGGCCTGCATTGTTGTGTTAACATTTACATGGGAGGAACTTCTTTTTGTTTTTTGAGCTTTAAAAAAAAAAGATACATCCATGACTGCAATAATGATTTTGATTCTTAAGTGTCAACAGTTATTAACTGCACACTAAACATCAAACTATGAAGTGTCTTATCATAAGAAATCACACAATCAATCTGTGAATGAAGGAAAACAAAAGTAGATGTTGTCTCGCATGCCATAAAGTTAACTAATCATGTATTGGCAAGTATGTACAGGAGAAATTAGAACTTCCTCCAATAAGTTTTGGTCCACATACATACACATAAGTTTGACCTTTGACCTTTAAGAGAATGCTTTTGGCATTTAATGGTGCAATTTTTATCAAGACATCCACTAAAAGCTCAACAATTAGAAGAGATACTATTCTGTAACATTTATTTTTCAGAGCAGCTCATTCTGATACCGTGCCTTCTACCTGCTGATACTGGCCAATCAGTATAATTTTGAATGGCTGTAGGTCTACAGGACTGACCCTGTATGGCAACAAACACTAAAACTGAAGCCCTACACACTGTACACATTGCTGGTATACTTCTTGGAGTTTCCAGTTGGGCCTAAATTTTGCAAACCTTAACCAATGTCTCATTCTCTACTTTTACGACACTGTTGTTATTTGCTACTACACATTCTGCACATAGTTGCTTTGCAACTATGGCAACCACTCACTGACTGAGTCAATCATGATAAATGTGGATGTTTTTGTTATTTCTGAGGCGCCAATATCAACACTTTTCCTACTTCCACATATTCCATGAAGCTCAGAGGATGAAATAGTCTCGTATCAGTCCATTTCCTTGTTTGAGCACGTTTGAGTACACATGAATCATGCCTGAGACCACATCTTAAAGTGGACTTGGGCACGATATACAAGCAGGGTACATTTGTGTTCACACTGACCAAATAACTCAGACTTTGGGGTCAAGTGTACGCGGATCCCGGTCCGGTTCCCTAATGTGAAACCATCCTAAAACAGAAGCTTTCAGGGGCAGCCATGATAAAATGAAGAAATATCGATTATTTTTTAAAGGCTTTTATGCTATGATACTGACCCTGCATCTTAGTGCTAGTGGAAGCATTTCCCTGGCTGGTGTTGAAGCAATCTTAAAAGAAAGTTTATGTCATGAAGACTTGTGTGGATCATGTTCAGATATGTGTGAAATACTGCAAAAATTTGTTTAACCTATGTTGAATGAAATCAAGTGCTACTGCGTCTGTTTTAAACACTTGCAATCACACAAACAATCCCTATTTTTTTTCCATGTGTCCGGCCTGCTTCTTCATGTTGTCCCTGTCATCACCATCAGCCTATAGCACCAGCAGCTTTGTTAAGGCAAAATTAAACATGAGGGCATTTCACTTTGCCTCCTGATCATTTAGCTCCAACCAGACCATTGCAGTCATGTCCTGTCTTGTATATGATACAAACAACTGGTTGCTTGTAGTAGTATAAAACATAATAAACACTTTAATATGTCGCACACAGAGAAAAAAGTAATAATAAATCATAGAAAATGTTAATATCAAATAGAAACCAGTTTAATAATGCAGGAACCAACACCCATATTCAGAGTCTGAATTGGAGCGCAAGCTCACACTGCAGAGCCAAACCAAGGACGACTTTGTTGGAAGATAAATCGTCTTTTGTCCTTTAAGTATCCTAAATTCCATTATCAACTTGTCACTTGTCAAGTCCTTGAGTTTAAAAAGACAAAAAAAACAAAAATCTTCCCATTTTGGAGGCTTTCCAGTCAGGTTTGAGGGCCCATCTTTGACTTTTCATACTGTAATAAGCTGACAATCAAAGATGACCATGCTGTCCTGCCAGCTTTCCAGGATCCGTTAAACTCTTGACGGGGGCTATACGTTGGTCTCAAGGCCATTCATGTCAATGGTGCATTGTTCTTTGCTCTTCTTAAGGTGCCTCGGGGGAATCGGAGGCTTCCTCCTCTCCGTCTGCGGCCGCACGCCTTCCTCCAGCTGCATCAGCCGTGCCACGTCCGAGGGGATGAGGTCCTGTTTGACCCCTGAAGACGGGGGTCGGTAGTTGCCGTTGTTGTTGTGACAGTTCATCAGAGGTGGGGAGTTCATGACCGGTTTGGGCTCACAGATCAGAGGAACCTTGGGCAAAAAGGAACACAGATAAGGAAGTAGAAAATTGAAAGCTTATAAGAACGAACTGCTTTGAAAGGAGCCGAGGCAAGACTCACTGATAGCTAGAATTTAGCATCTTATGCCCCGTTATTAAATAAACTTAACTTTCAGAGGGGAGATGCTGTATAATTTATAACTGCTGTAATTACAGACAAAAACCTCCTCCTTAAATGTCTGCTACTGTGGAGATTTTAGAAAAGCTTGGATGTTAAAAGGAACTTGACATCAAATACGTCTTTAGTTTAAGGAAGGAGTATTGACAGTGGGGGATCGACCTCTGATCTTGAGAGTTGAATCACACAGAGCTCCTTCTTCCTGTTGAAGTTCCCTTTTAATAATGTTTGTGTGCAAGTCTCATAGCTAGCTTAGTTTCTTTCTGTAGAGCTAGGAAGTCTGTCTTGCTTAAAACTGCACCAATAACTCACCCCATCTCCCTCCTTCATGAAGTCTTTCCTGCAGATGTGAGCCATGATACCTGTTGCCAAAGCATCGCCCATCACGTTCACCATGGTGCGGAACCTGTCTCTGTGGAAAAGGAAGACGTATGAGAACTTAATGATACTCATATTTCCGGTGAACAAAAAAAAAAGAAAGATGGAAATGAACACACATGCTACTTACAATGCCCAGTCTACTGCAATGATGAGAGTGATGTCATCAGTTGGCAACCCGACAGACGTTAGCACAATCACCATGGTGACCAGTCCGGCCTGTGGGATGCCTGCTGCGCCTATACTGGCTGCAGTGGCTGTGATACTGTGAGATAAAAAGTAATGGTTACAAAAACAAAACTAAAGGTCAGTTTATAAAAGTAAACAGTAACACTTAAAAGATAGACTCTGTAGCTGTCCAGCCTTCCCGAGGTGTCTCAAGTTGGGTGAAACACTGGTGAAGGGAAGTTCCCACTTGACAAGCCCGGTGATGTCCTGGCTCTTTCTGCCCATCAGTCTGCACACGGTTGAATTGTGGGGGCAAAGAGGGACCATGTGGAAGGCTTATCAGTATCAGCATTGTCACTACCTGGGGCTTGTTTGTACGGAGCATGGGTCTGTTGAAGGTGGCAATGCTGTTTTGGTTGCGGTAGCAATAATGGCCATATAGTAGGTTATGTTACTTATCAGTAGGATATAAGGGCAAGACTGAGTGTTTTCACTGAGCACTTATCCTTTCATTAGGACACAAGTATCTTGTGTTTTTTTCAGACTGTAAAACAGTGAACTGGGGCAGGCAGTATGAAATGGACTTCAACCAAAGCTAACTGGACCGGACTGAGTGTATGGCAAAAGAGACCAAAGCTCAGTGGTAAACCTCATAATCCTTTATATTTTCTACAAGTCTAAATGTATGCTTCATTTTTTTTTGAGTCAACAAATGTTTCACAATTTCCCACATTATGCTTTTAATATTCTCAGACTTTTTTTGAGACTTTTGAATTGGTCTCAACCATACGTTCAGTCAGGAAGAGGGTGCCTCACGGTCATATGGACTTTTTTTCATTCATCGCTCTCTCGAATGCTCACTTACATTTCCACTGTCATTGTCTGGGGCTGCCATTGGGTAATCAGCTTTCACCTCATCTCATTGTTAGCCTCTCATCTTTCTGATCCATTTTTAAATATGATTATCTCCCTGCCTTTGGTTCTCTTCAGTGGACGTCTCGTTCACCCTTCCACCTCCCCATCACTGCCCATCTTTGCAGAGTAATCAGCCATCAATTGTTCACCCATCTGGTCATCTCAATAAGTCATCAGCTTCATCACCACCAGTACCTTGACTCCATGGTGATTCGCTTTCCACTCAGAACAGATATTCTCCAATCACAAAAACCACCCCTTAAAGTCCTAGCGCCAAATACCTTCTGAAAAGACACATTTCCATGATATCCATTGTAATATACTTTTCTTTATTTGTTTACTTGTCTCTCCTGATTGAAATATTGTTGTCTTACAAACTCAGACACTTCTTAATTGTGCTGTCATTGTCTTTGAGCAGTCAGCAGAAGAAAAAAACAGGAAGTCTGTAGAGAACATTTACTTTGGATTCAACTGACAAAATATATTTTTTGATCAAAAGATAGGTCCGGCCTAATGAGTCAGACTATAGTGCGACCGTCCATAAAGAGACCCTCTGACTTCATACTGATTCAAAAGTGATGTTAATGAGATGAGTGCATATAACAGCAGACTGTGTTCTGCATGTTTGTGTATATCTGATGTTTGGTGCAGACCCAGAGGTTGAGGACTGGATGACCCCATCTCTCATCACACATCTCGTGACTTTGTGTTAATGTGGGGGGTTGGGAAGCCGTGACTCGGATGTGGTGGTTTATCAAGGCCACATGGCGCTTTTCACAAAGATAAGCGGATATATTCAATCTACAGTGGATGTATGGAATTGTATAGAATAACACGTATGTAGTCATAATGGGTATGGTCGACCACTCCTGGTGGAAACACAAAGTGAACAATTATGCATGAGCCTTCTGAAATGTAAAATAAACTGTGCTATCTGCATGAGGATACAATTATTGTCAATGATCCAAGTAAAGAAATCCAAATGATTTCACTGCACAGGATGGTTAACAGTGTCTGGAAATGTGTACCTTTTCAATAGCACTTGACCGGCGTCTGTACATTTTGGAAATGTCAACCAAGCAATCATGCCTACTTCACAAAGTGGCTCGATTTGCTGAGGGAAGGAAGTTATACTTATCTCTCAAGCACTCTTATTTTGCTCCTCGTGCAAAAGCTGGTGACTTTGATATGTTTGATGGGAACTTTTGACATTTACAGAAAGGAAAAAAAGCCCAACTATTGAAACAACAACAAGAACTTATCAGCAAAAGTTGATGTATGATAACAAAGGTAAATAAAAAGAGAGAGTTTAAGGATAGATTTTGACATGCACGATACCTGATTTATCTGGTATCTGTTACCTAGGCCTCTATTAAGATGACAAAATATAGTTAATAAGTAATGGTATTAGGGATCTTTTAATCATCTTTTTCTGCACTGATTTAACAATAATTTACACCACCAGCTAGTTATTTTATTGAATAGATAAATCAATACATCCCCATTTTCCATTTGTGCATTTCCTTGATGTTTTGTTGGAATTACATCCATTTCCCCCTTTGTGCCGACCTTAAACTAGTTTGATTGAAGCATTCGCCGCACTGAAGTAGGGGTCTACATAACTGCAGTAAGCACCACTTTATTTCCTCTCATCTCTCCCTAATTAAGGACTTTTCATGTCAGCAAACACATTTTAACTTTGGTTTACTGATCACTTATTGAATCCATCCTGGTACAACTCCCTCACCACCAAACACAAAACAAACTCTCCCACACAGTTAATCAGGCAAGGGAAATAAAAGGTTCATCCCAACCTATTACCCTTTTTGAAGAAATGCCACCCCTCTCATGCCCTCCACCACTCCTTCTAGTTATTGCCATCAGGCAGACACTACGAAGTCCTTTCATTCCCTCTGCAATAACCACCCTGAACCAAATAAAATTGACCATCTTTATCAGTTGTTGTCGTGTAGTTTTAGCACACCCAGCCATGATTTCCACCTGAATTAGTCTGACTGCCTATAGGCAGACATTCATCAGCAACTTTTGATGCGTTTGCTTTTAAGATGATCACCACGTTCAGCCAGCTTCTGTCGCTGCCTGTGATTTAACTTTTTCTCCTGCTGCAACCTTTGAGACGCTTTCTTCACTACGACATTCAATCAGTTCGCTTCAAAGACGCCTTTTAAAGCTTTCCCCCAAAAAAATCCACGGCCCTAAACTATTTGAGGAATGTGCTTGGCTGCTCATCAACAACCTTTGATGTGTTTCCTGGGATTTCTTGGACCGCTTGATGAATGGAAAGCCACCCTCTGCACTTGATTGAATGCTGGACAAGCCCAACCTTGTTTGATTTGGTACCCTTACTCTTGCTGGCATATTGTAGAAAAGACTCAGAAATGTATGCAGTGACTCACATATAACAGATTCATCACCAATCTTTCTCACAGGGATTTTTCGTCTCTTCAAACTGGCCATAGCTGAGTAAATCACAGTACACACACACAAACTGTGGGTGAATATTTAAAACCCTGCAAATTAAAAAAAAAAATTCCCTTTACTTATGATGGCATGATGTATTTCTGTTATCAGGGAAAGGATTTATTGCCGTTGATATCACTGCTCTAAAATCCTGATGATATCTTTACCACCATAATGAGCTTAAAAGCACAGATGGCATATAGCACGGTCCGCTGACCTGATGGTGATGATCTGGCCAAAGTCCAGCTCGTAATTATTGACTTGGGCGATGAATATCGCTGCCACGGCCTCATAGAGAGCGGTGCCGTCCATGTTGATGGTAGCGCCCACAGGGAGCACGAAACGGATGATGCGGCGGTCAATGTGGTTGTTCTCTAGGAGGCACTTGAAGGTTATAGGCAACGTGGCGGAGCTGAGGACGACAGAAGCATACACACAGTTCAGAGGATTTGCATGTAACATAATTGTCTTTTAATTTCCCCATGGGCATGTGTGTTAGCAAAAGCTGTAGGTTTATATTTGTAAAAGAAACAGCTGGAAATCTGATGAGCTGCATGAGATCAGAGGAGGAATTATGAATACAAAATAAATAAGAGAGTTTAAAAGGTGGAAAATTCTCTGGAAATAGTATCAATCAATAAATCAATGCATTTTTATTTGTAAAGCACCACATCACAACAAGTGTTATCTCAAAACACTTTACAAAAGAGCAGAAAAAAACCTTACTCTTTGTTTTATTATCTACAAAGACCCAGCGTTAATCCATCATGAGCACAAAGCAACATTTAGTAAAGTTACAGTGGCAACATAAAACGTCCTTTAAGAGGCAGAAATCTTGGGCAAACTGTACCGGGCTTGAACAATGGGATAGAGGGAGATGGGATAAGATGCAGAAGAAGGATATGGACAAATGGGAGGGGCAATGATCCAGAGGAACCTACAAGACATGAGAGTTCAGGAGCTCCCGGGAAAAGTACAAGCATGCCTATGTCTATAATGACACAGCCTGAGGGTTTTATGTTTTTCTCTTTTGCTCTATAATGAGTATGTTTGCACATGTTGGTGTATGTACAAGGTGTACATTTGAATATTTTGGATAAACATGCTTTGAACAGTGACAGTAATATATATTGGCACTTTATTATTCTAGCTGCTGTGGGTGTGAAAGCGTATATGAAATAAAAATGTGGCTGTTTGATCTTTATTTCCTTTTTTGCTCATCTGAATTCAGAACACGTGTGTCATGTGTGGCTGGTGCCTGCAGAAAATATTACTGTGGTCACCAACAACACAAGATGAATACACAGAGCCTTCTCCAGACGGTCAGGAAAACAGCATTTAAAAAAGATTAGCATTTTTGGTGGTTTATTCGAAGCACTTGTGAAACACAATTTGAAAATGCTGAGGAGCATTTTTCCAAACAAACATTGTTGTGTTTCAGATTTTCAGTTTGTTGTTTTCCAACCTTCAGGCTGTCACTGGTTTTCAATCCTTTCTGCTTGGGTTCAAATTCAAGATAAATGGATTATTTCTTCTAATATGAACAAGGAAAGACATGCAAAACACACTGATGATTTCATTTAAATTCATTCATCCCGAACCATCCGAAAAACACACAGACAGTTAATTAAATGCCCAAGACTCTCCAATATCTTCCAACACACACCAGATGTTTTCTTATCTTCTAACGTCCATTTGAGGCTTTCGTTGGTTGCATTGTTGCATTCAGATAAATCAAATTTACATATTAAACATTAAAATAGTCATGTCTTTTCACAAACTATCAATGTATTTTTTTTTCTCCATATTCATTCTCTTTACCTGGAAGAGGTTGCCAGGGCGATGAGCAGGGCTTGCAGGATTCCCCGTATGTAAACGATGGGACTCTTTTTGGTGATGAAGAAGTACATGGCTGGCAGGATGAACAAACCGTGCAAAACCAGTCCAAACACCACAGTGACTGCATAAAATCCCAGCTTTTTCCCCATGGCAGAAGGATCGCTCATCTCCAGGATCTTACCGGCAACCAGGAACACAATGCCGAAAGGAAAGTACCTGGCAGGGCAAGAAGTGGCAGTGAGCTCTTCGCTAAGTTATAAAACAGTTAGTCTTGTCCAATTGGCAGATTTATAAGTAACAAAGAGGTGTAAATATTCTACCAAAAACTTAGAGGGATGCAATAGTAGTAGGTATAGTGGTAATGAGAGGTGTGGACTTCAGTCACAGATTGCGTGACTTTGGACTCAACTTGGCAATGACATAAAGGACTTACAACTCTACTTGCACTTAAACAACAATGACCTGTGACTAAACTTGACGTGAGCTTGGCTCAAAATACGTGAGAGTAGTATCTAAAGTTTCCTTATAGATATGCAAGTCCTACTTTGATATCAGTTCTTAAAGATGAAAGGTCAAGGTACATTTTCTTCAATACTAACATTAACCAATAAAGCAGTTTGAGAACTATTTATTGATTATTTATTGATCTCAGCACATTTGACAGTTTTTCTTTACCTTGCTTTTACTGATGGATCATTTCAATCTTGTTTTTACTCACCATGTTTTTCTGATTGATGTGTAGTCTTATTTTTAATTTTGTTTTTATTTGTCTTATTCTTACGATTGGTTTCTTTATCGAGTTTTTTACTGATGCGTAAGTAGTATTAAGCACTGTTCATCATGTTCACTTCATCATGTTTTGTCTTGTCCTGTCGATTGTATGTGAAAGGAGGGCTGACTCCCTCACTGTATCAAATCTACAAACAGCTACAAATAAAGACAACAACAGAAAATGACAGAGTCACAGGGCTTTCAGCTGTAAAACCATTTACTATTTTTGTGCAAAACAGTCTAATAGAGAGAACGTGGTTCTACTGGTACAAAGCAGCTCTTTTATTATTGCTATTGTCATCCTGACGTCCTGAATACTGAAAATGTCCCTATGTTCTCGATCATAATATCTTAATAATGATTTTTCAAACCTCCTGCTGCACGTTGTTTAGAAAAGGACAAAAAAACATCCATAGTTTCCCAGAGTGAAATAGTGGGTTTAAAGGAAATCTTTACCATATAACAATAGCAACAATCCTGAGGACGGCTTCATTAAGGCTCTGGCAGAAGTTCACCAAGGCGCTGCCGTTTGGCCCCATCCTCCCCAGCATAATACCTGTCAAAACACAGAGCACAATCTTTAAAGTGATGCATGAACGCATTTTAGTTTAATGAAATATCCTCTTCAGGACAAAAAGTACACATGAAACTTCTGAGAAGAATTACGTAGGTTTTTTACCCATTGTGGCTGAAAAAATAACAATTCCAAGAACATTCATCCCATCACTCGTTCCTTCCCGAGTGCGAATGAGCACATCTGGAGGAGGGGTTAGGTCAAGGGCGAAGTTCTGGATATCAGTCCCATTATCATCCTGGATACCGTAGATGAGCGCTCGCCGTGTACTGGACTCTGATTGGGCCTGACTCAGCGTGGGCTTGGCCTTCACAATGTACTCACTGCTTGTTCGATACTGTTGTCAGGGAGTTAAAAGAGAAGTAGAAAAAAGAGCTGCACTGATGTCCTAAAACACTAATCCTTTGTTTTTGAAAGTGCTGTGTGTGACATAACAGGCCTTACCTGCTGAAACGTGGCCTGGACCAGATTCGCAGGGAACATGTTGCTGTAAGGGAAAGATACAATTAGATAGGTGGTTAGCTGGTCTTCATATGAGTGTGTTGGCCATTACATTTCACTTTCTTCTGCTAATGTATAAGTATTTGAATCATTTCTGGACACAAAGCTGCAGAAAGTTCAGGTTTATTAGAGGGTTCTGCATTGTTGTCAATAAAATGGCAGTGGGTTTAAGTCAGCAGATAAACAAAAATATCATAAGCCATAGTTTTGACAAGCTTTTATACTGGGTTTACTTTGTAAAGGCTTCAGGATATTAACTACCCTTCTTTAATATTTGAATCAACTCAGTGACATTTCCCCTCCTGTCAAAACCCACCAAATAATGCTGAAACAAACTTTACGCTTTGTGGTCTGTGTGCTGAAGTTGTGCAAAACAGAAACTTAAATTGAACACTCAGCAGGCTGGACTTCACGCCACAGTTCTACATATTTACAGATATTTTTCCTTAGCATTACACAGTCGTAGAAAAACAAACAAGGTCCTGGTTTATTTGACTGAAACAAAGGTCAAAGGTTTCTGCTCCTTCTACATGGTTCATATAAAACCAAGCACGCCTTTCCACGCATACTACTTTGTTAATATGACCAGCACATAAAGTAAACTCTCCAGAAACTTTATGAGACTGACATGGCTGGTTTGGGTCCTTGACGTTGTAGATTTTCTTTAAAGCTTTTAAAGTTACTCCATAGTTTATGACAACAAGGATAAAGCACATCAGTCAAATGCTTTCAAACTGTTTAGTACAAATAGAAGTCAGAGTATACGTGAAATCAAAACATATACACTTTTAATTCATTATAATTAATCATTAACTTCCACATTAAAAAACTTTCTCTAAGTCTTTTTTATAGATGATTACACAAAGACACTTTAGTTTCAATTATTTGACAAATCTGGATAAAAGAAGACCGAAAACATCAACTATTCTCAACAAAACAGCTCCATCTCTGCTGTCATTTAATCATCTTTAAAGGCTTTGAAGCAAACACGGTATTATTGTCTGATCTCACAGACCACAGAGAACTTCAAACAGCATTGTTTTCTTTATCTACTTATTCATGATCAAGCTCATTGTCAAATAGGGTGAAAAAGTATTGATTAAAAAGAGATAGGCTGGAAGTTTCACAGATACCTGTGGATCTTGATAGTCATTGTCATGGCTGGGCCGGGTGTTTTTGAGGTAAACTGCCATCCTACAGATGTAGATTTATCCAGAAGCTCAAAAACCAGACCTCATTTCACTGTGCTCTGCTATCAGAGAGTCAGGAAGATCCTACACCTGCTCACATTTTCACTGAGAGTTGGTCAAATGAGGAATGAACACTATTTCAACATTTCTCATGAAAATATTACGTGAAAAATTCAAACCTTTCTTCTATTTGTTGCTTCATAATGCAAGCTTCCTCTGGAGAGGAAAATATGAAGAAAAACTGATTACATTTCATAATCACACTCAAAGATTGTTTTCTTCAATGGTTGTTTACGGCATTCAGCCTGCCTCCACAGGTCTGTCCAGGCTGATTAAAGACCTGTAACTGGTTGCACCAGCTGTGTAAGTTCTGTCTTAAGATCTTGTGTTAAGTTAGGGCTTACCAGAAACTTACCAGAATATTGTCACATATATGACATTTTAACTTCATGTCACCAATCAGTGAAAAGCATATCTTTGATGCAGTGTTTGTTACAGTGCTGCCCCTGATGCCTAATTGTCTCCTAATAAACTAACAGCTGAAAATAACTCATCTGACCAACTGTTAATCAAGTAATCGCTTCAAAAATGTGTGTAAACTATAACAAAGCATTATGATTGAGTGATAAGAACAGCTACAACTACAGCTGGTGAAAAATAACAACAGTGACATTGAGTGGGGAAATCTTCAACTCAAACATAACGGAGAAGATTTGAAGATTTTTTTAGTTGGGGCTTCTGTTTATTGTCGAAGACACATTTTACTTACAGCTCGTGTGAGAAATGCTACAATATTCAGTGATATTCTTGTTTTGTCTATACCGCATGAACAAGTTTTCTCATAAATGGCTAAATATGAAAAATAACCAGACTTGAAGTTTCCTTGACATTACTGTAGTGCGACGTGTTGAAATGTATGACAAACTGTATTTGATATTTCTGACTGACTGTATCGACACTCCTTACATAGACATGAAGGTTTTTCTGAGCAGCATGTGTATATATAAACCCAAGCATATTGTGATTACTTTGAGCTTTCCTTCAGACTGTCTTGGCACTCTGAAGATTTGTTCCTTCTACTTGCAAGAAGAATTAAACTAAATAAAGACATTGATTGACTCATGATCCTTTCTTTTGCATTGTGGACAGAAATTTCCAGCACACTTCTTGTGCCTTTATTGGAGAGACAGGACAGTGGACAGAGTCAGAAATCGGGGAGAGAGAGAGAGAGTGGGGAACAAATTGTGGGAAAGAAGCCACAGGTTGGTTTTCTAACCAGGCCGCACGGTTTAAGGCCTTCAGCCTCTGGACACGGGGCGCATGAAATAACCACTTTGCCACTGGCGTCCCACATAAAGTGATTTAACGGTACTCTGTTGTTGGACGGACAGAATTACCTCCGCTCATGGAAAAAAACAGCAGGATCAAAGATCAAAGTAATTTCTGAGGATGTAATCTATGACGGAGATCTCATTGCTGACACCAAACAGCTGGTAAAACCTCCTCCTTATCCTCCAAGTTATCCCACCTTTCAAACGATACACAATAATAACTGTATTTTACAGAGGACTCTACACCTACTAGGAGCTGGGTGAAAGATTTGAGTTATAACTTTTCAATTTCAACAACAGCAGGAAAAAATGTTTGGAACAAATAGACAATGTATGACAGTCTTAGCCCTGGTTACTGATACTGGGACTAAGAAACTAAGTTACATCCATTTGGGAAGATTTAATATCTTTTTAGTCTACAATGAAGTCATTCCAGAGAGCGGGAACTGAAAGAAGACCAACATTTTAATCCTCTCTCTGGATTTGTGGGAAATCCAAAGAAGTCTTGGAAAAAAATATGTTAGAAATATGTTATCATTTACAAAGAATGGATTCTGTTGGGGAAATGGAGTTTCAGTTGGGCGTTAATCTGATCATCTTTGTCTGCAATAGAAACAATTAATTAACTTTGAAGGCAATGCCGCTTTTTGGTCTCTTTTTGCCACTTTGGTTTAACAACATGGAACAGTTCAAAAGTAGCTCAAAGACTGAAAGTTCTCTATCATTTTAAAGGAGCAGTAAGATATGGAGTGAATTAAATGATAAAATTACTTTACTTTATCATCAGACATTAAGGAAACATGCTATGTTGAAGTGCTGGCTTCTCTAACAACAATGCAGCAGCCAGTATGTCCTCCTTTTAAGTTTAGATTCTGGTCCTGAGTGGTCTGGTTTTGTTTGAAAAAATATAAGAAAAACGCTTGGCTGAGGTGTTAGAAGGAGATAAGGTCCAGGGCTGCACATTTAGGTGTCTCAGCCAGTAATCATTTGAAGTGGTTTTGTACAATATGACATCTTGCAGGGGAAATACCTGTAAAAAACCTGTAAAAAAACCCTGAAATTCTAAACTCTATTATATCCATCACAATTCCCGTATAAAGAATTTGCATGAATTTCCATGTACGGTAAGCAAACTTCACCTGTGAATAGAAATGCACTCCGAGAAAATTACTCAGATTATGTCATATCTTAAGAGACTTAAAGTCAACATGTTGTTAGCTGAAAAGTTGCATTAAGAACTAGTTTTTCATTTTCAAGTTTGATAAGGACGGTTATAGAGAAAATGTAACAAATGAGTTCCATTAGTGAAGAACATTTCACACACAGGACACACTGCTGTTACCTTTTCACTCATAAAAACAATAGATTTCAGGGTTGTTTATCATCTATTTGATTTGATCGAGTGCAGAATAAAGGTTCATTTCATATTTTAATACAGCTTTATCTTGAAGGCTGTACTTTTTGTTCTGAAAACTGCTCTCACTCTCAATAAAAGGGCTGATGCTGACTTTTGTACTTTTACTGTTCTTAGTAGGTCAATCTTTTAATATCTCATCCCTTTTTGTGGTCCTTCTCTTCAGAGTTTAGCTCCAAACTTCACCTTTAAACCCTGTCAACACAAATCTCCTTTGCAAAAAAATAATCTGCATGCAGCTTTGGGTGCCTGTAATTTCTGCAAATGTGGCTCAATGCAGCCAACAGGTTGTGTTTGTTCTCTTCTAATCACCCTCTCCTCAGTGCGACCAGGTTATAAACAACATAACAATCCCATTCCCGAAGTCTCTATTTAATAAAAACACGTGGCACAGTAGAAACAATAAAGTATATATAAGTATATAGTGAAGAATCTGAGGAAATATCCTTAAAGACAAAGAATTGGACAGCACTGGGTCAACCTGTCTGCCGACTGGCTGACACTCTACCTTCCATCCATTGAGTCCTGCTCATGTAAGAGTCATGACAAACAAGCAGCTCTCTATGCTGTGCACACGTGAAGTTCAGTGGGTGTTTACAGTATGAGGCCTTACCGGATGAGGTCGAGCAGAGCATCAGCAGAACTCATGACAGTTTTGCCGCTGTCCTCGGAGTCCTCTTTCTGGGCTGCACCTCCTGGATGGATGATGGAGACCATGATGATCCCCACGACCACGGCCACAAAGGTGGTCCACAGGTAATAAGACACCGTGATCAGACCCAGCCGACTGGAACACTTGGCATCGAGGGCCGCCAGTCCTGACATCAAACTGGAGGAGGAAAGTTAGACTCAAACTGGTGTCCAAGCTTTAGGGAAGGTTGAATCATGGAATAACATTGATCAGTCAATGCTTGAGCAGCTTGGTGAAGCCAATACATTTGGAAATAGTTTTATGAGGTTCAATCTTATTCTTTACTTACACAGGAGCAGGGGTGGAGCAGCAATTTTAAAAGTGCGGTTGTTCTAAGGCTAAGTACATGAACAACCCCAACCATAGCTCAACACAAGATACACCCAGGGGTCAAAGTCATTTCTGATCCTAAAAGGATGTCCTCAAACCTTAAAAGTTATTTTATTTGAATGCCAACCTTATTCTTATGGCTCTCCTAACACAGGACAAAACAGATCCTCATCCACTGATGGAGCTTGGCCCAACTTTTAATCCAAAATCTTGAAGACGTAAGTGTCTGCATAATAAAATTTCATATACAAATTCATTGAAAGCTCCAGAGAAAACACGTGTGTAGAGGTTGTTTCCCAACAGCTGTTTGTAAGAGGTCAATTTAAAGCTCTTGTTTCAAGCACAGGGTAAAAACAGTCGAGCTATTCTTAAATAAAAGGCAACAAGTCCAATTTAAACCAAACATGCTGTTTCACCCTGTAGACGCCATATAGAGTCATTTTGTTATTTGATGTCCCATTTGTTTGAATGACACAGATGTATTGTGCTTTTAAAATACAAGTATTGATCGGATAATGAACTGTGTTAATTTCTCTTGACCTTTGTACCCATCATTATATTAATAGTAAAAACATGGGAGTATCCATTGGACATACAATACGATACAATACAGTAAGATACAATACCATACAATACTACAACATGATACACAGGATACGGCATGATTCGATACGATATGATACGATATGCTAGACTACGCTACGCTAAACTACAATACGATATAATTTGTTAAGATACTCTTTATAGGCCTTTCGAGGAAATTTGTCTCAGACCCAAAGTTCTGCATAAAGTAGTATTATTAAATTTAAAAAAAACAATAAAATCAATTAATGTTCCACATGTAAACAAAGAAGCATATAAAACTATGATGCTAATAGACAATCCATACAGCCTCAAGAAACATTGTTTAAAATTTGGATTGTGGTGGGCTAAAATAAGTTCTTTTAAACAGTTCAGTTTTCATTGTGGGACTCTGCTGATGGTAAAAAGCTCGTGCTTATACTGGAGTATATGAGACGGGTCAGACAACATGTACAAATGTTAGTTTGGGGCATTTGAAGAAATTACTTGGGCTGATGTTCATCTTAGGTGCATGGTCCCAAAGCACCTCAGGGTTTTAACTCACTCACAAACACGTTGATTAAAGTTTAGCACAGAGACAACTAAATAAAAGCAGCAGCAGCAGCAGACCTGACTCCTTCTCAGACCTGCAAATAACCCACATTGAGAGCGCCTTCTGCATCGATGATAACTTTTTATTTTGCTCTATTTGTGGATTCTTTTAAGGTTGGACTATATTGACACCTGATAGAAAAAAAAGGTTGCTGTGTCCTCTGAATGTCTGGGGAAAATACTCTGTGTGGGGGTAAAACATCACATGGAAATTAGCAGGTGATATGACTGACAAGATGTCCATTTTTTACGGGTTATGGACAGCATGCTTTGAATTCCTAATTATGCACATGTGGGTAATCTCCTGTGGTTTTCAGTACTAGGCTTCCCCTCCCCCATGTCTGCCTCAAAGGTTACCCGTAGGAACTCTCCAGATGTTTCTTACTCTTTCTTGTGATTTGTTAAATATTGAGGTGGATTCAGCTTTCAAACAAAGGCTGACATTTCAGCCACACACAGCCTGCTCCATGAGACCACCGGAGGGCTGCTCAGGGTGCCACAGATATGAGACTGAGAATAAAGTCAAACAGAGTTTCAAATGGCAGTCCACATTGTGGTCTGGTGGATGTCACCAAACGTTCTTCAGCTAAATTAAAGTAAGACTGAAATGACCAGACAACAGATTGACATGATTAAGGATTTATTATCAGGTGTAGTGCCATCAGAAATGTAGGAGTTATATTTGACTGTGAACTGACATCAATGTGCAGATTGGGGGCGTTGTCCAAACCTTGCTTTTCAGCCCAGAAATGTTTCAAAAATACTTTTTTGTTAGGCTGAAGTAGGTAATTCAGGATTTTTTTCAACTATTAAGGTCTATGTCAACTCTTTTTTTTTTTCAAAAAACCTCCAACAGTCAAAAATCTATCACAGCTTTTCCAAATATGATATATACGCAAGACTTCAAACTGGCACTGAATGGAGAGACCACATCATTTGATTTTATTTGTGTTTTATTTTTGGGCTTGTATGCCTTTATTTCAGGGACAGGACAGTGGATAGAGTCATCAATTGTGGAGACAGAGAGAGTGGGGAATGACATGCATATCTCCGGTCATTGTTATTTTGCTTTATGTGATTAATGTGGTTAAAAATCAAACTAAGATTTATATGATATGCGCGTTTAACACTCTTATACTTCACTCATATCATCGTCTGTTAGTTAACCAAGCTTGCTGTAATCCGACATGTACCTGACAACATTTAGAAAAGGGATAAGATACTTATCTGTCAACAGGGGGCGCCAAAATCAACACAAACTGAGTGCTCCTCACAGGAGCTTTACGAACACCTATGTTGTGTTGTTTTTTAGTTTAAACTTTAAATCTCAATCTCATTTTATATGCTTTGTTTGATTAATTATGGTTGTAATGTAGCTTTATGGAAAGCAAGTGAACTTTATTTTGAAAAACAATGCTATCCAAATCATACATCAATCACCAGTCACAACCAGAAGATGAACCAGTCACCACTAACACAGCCTTGTAATCACAGTCAAGCTGGCAAAGCCGTGTTTGCAGTGTTAGCTTTGTCTTGTGAATGTACGGATCAATGCTTAATCCTCCATGGCTGTCATTCAGGACAGAATGCTCTCTCTCTCTCTTCTCTCTCTCTCTCTCTCTCTCTCTCTCCCCATCCCTTCTCTCCTTTCTCTCTCTCTCTCTCTGATGACTATAGTATCTCAAAGCAGCAGTGCTTAATGAATGAGGACACCCTCAACATTCATAGTTAAACTGTCTAAGACACAGAGGCTTTAATATGCCCGAACTTGCTGCACCAGTTCTGTGTAAGTTCTGCTTCAAGTTGAAGGTACAATATGTAGACACTAAAATATCTAAGTTAATAAGAAATAGACTAAACCTCAGTTAAAGGATATACTGTGTATATACATATTTGTTGTTGAATACTTACATTACCTCAAATATTTTCAACAGTTATCAATGTCAGAGAAATCCTTCATTTTACAGTTGTAATGTTACGTGTTAATAAATTTAGTTGTAATGTGATGAGACATGACAGACATGACATGTTTATCATTGCCGCTGCATATAGAAGCGAGAACTGTTGCATTATGTGCTGCTATGCTAAAAACGTCACGTAAATTATTCTTGGATAAATAGTCTGTTAACATACTCCCCCTGGTGGCAGAATTTCCACACAGTGCGTTCTCAAGAGAAAATCCCCCCAGCGTCTTTTAACTAACTAATGCACACCTCACTGTGAAACTGAGTAAAATATATAAAAAAGTATCTCTGGCCACATCCTTCAGGCTACCTGCTTTGTTGTTATCCAAGCCACCTACTGGCAGGAAGTGACAGGAAGAAGAAACAACAAAGATAAAGGCCATCTCCTATACGGTTTCTCTCACTAAGTTTAAAAAAGGCAAAGTACCAAACTGAGACTGATTTATAACCAGCACTAAACTTTTTGGTATAGCTTTATCGAAAAATACTGTGGAACAAATCCGTCTTGCAAAACTATGTGCTACAAAACAGCACAATAACAAAGTCAACAAAGTCTCACCAGAGCAAAACTAGAATGTTTCTAGACTGACTAGAAAATCTCAAAGGGCAAAACAGAACATGTATTTCATCATTACGACACACATGCCGAAAGTTTTTCAAGTTCAAGGATATTTTCCCGGTTTAAATCCAACGTTCCTGTGTTGCATGTTAATTTAGCTGCCATTATCTGACAAATATATATTTCCACGTACAGTATGTCAGATTTTATTAAAATGTTTAATCTAAATTAATACAAAATTGACTAAACCTATGTTATATATTTTGTTGTTGTTGAGTACTTACATTTACTCAAATATTTCCATTTTTGTAACTGGACATGTCTCTATAGTTGCCATGGAAACACCAGATGTTGCGTCAAAGACCGTACTGTTGCTGTATGTGCTGTGATAAAAATGTCATGTAAATTATACTCAGGAAAACATGTTGTCTTCCTCAGGTCGATTTCGCTCGTTTGTCTTGACTGCGGTCAACATGGAGTTTGTTTTCATCTGGGTGGGGGGTGGAGTAGCAGAGAGAACTCCCATGATTTCCCGCCAGCCTTAATGTCATCTTTTGTTGTTATATTGATTGAGCGCCCCCTGGTGGCAGAATCTACATACTGTGCCTTTCAATAAAGAATTATCTGAGTATTTTTACAAAAAAGTAATTTTCTCTTCCTGCACTCAGGGTCGTTTACTTACTGTATGTTTCGGCCAATTTAAAAGCTATGTCGAAGCTAACGATCCAATAAAATCCATTCCGACGCCTTTTATCTTGTGATTGGTTCTATCCTGTTTGAAATACGTCTTTGGAAATAGTTATGACACGGCAGTTAGATACTCTGTTTGATGGGGACTTTAAAAAAATAAACATATTAAAGGATATATTTGTAACAAGAGGCTGACTGCTAACTTTTCCATAGGTGCCTGTCAATACTGATAAAAAATGAAAGTTCCTCCACACTCTTCAGAACAAGCACAGAGTCTATATGACATCAGAAAAACATAAGCAGACCAAGATGAGCTGTTCTGAGTTCATTGTAGACAAAAGGCGAAAGGTTTGTCATGTCATCCTAATCGCTGAAGACTCACAGGTCACCGGTCTGACTTATTTTTGGACTCGCATGAGAGACACTTTTCTCTGAGGTAACATAAAAGCACTCAGAATATCAAAACCTTCCTCACAGGATATGGAAATTAAACTTCATGGTTAAACTGTGAGTCCATTCGCACTTTATGGAATAAGCAGATAACGTGATGTCTGCGTCCCTCCTTCATTATCAGCACCATCCAATAATCAAAGAAGCACAGAGCTTCCATTTAGGTAAGAAGGTTCGACAGCTTTATTACATTAATTAAACTCAGAGGGTAACTTATAGTCACTATTCATGGAGCACTGCGTTAGTTAGTTTAGGCGGAATACGGTAGTCCTGCCCGCCAGCTTTCAGTCAGCACGTTTTATACTCTAGAATGAATTGTTTGTTTGTTATGTCTGCAAGATGTCAGTATCATTAGATTCACATTCAATGTCCCCATGGGGGGAATTAAATGTTTGCGCTCTCAGCTGTGGCATGCTGCACTGATACTGCTGAGAGCTAAGAGCCGAACCAATACCGCCAAATACAACTGAACAAATCATAAGTGCAATAAATGGTTAAATCTATGAGGAGAGTATTCCTGACTGAAATTGAGTTCACTAAAGCGGTCATGAGTCAGAAATTCAAATGTAACGTAGCAGGGTCTGAGGGAGCACGGTGTAAAGTCTTTAATTCATGGAAAACAATGATGATGTTTCATGTTATACTACAGACCAATTTGGAGTTGACCACACAGTTGAGTCACAAAACATTGTTGTGGCAGAAAAACAATAACTTATAGAGGTTTAGAAAAGGTTATAAAGGTGAGGGAAGCACCATCTCATAGTGACACCCTGCAATCGAATACACGGGCGTGTTTACAGTGGAATCTACCCACGCCCCAAGGTAAAGGGGGGGGGGTGTAGTCGCAGACTACTCAAACACGACTACAGTAGTCGCAGTAGTCGTGTTTGAGGACAAAGATACACATACACATTCCAATTTTAAAACAGTAAACCATTTTTTAAACTTGAACAAAACTACTGTTGAAGGGTAAATCCTTTTAATTAAGTGTTAGAGTACCTGGACACAACGAGCGGGAGAATCAACATCTTCAGCATCCTCATCAGCAGCTCTCCAGGAAACTGAAAGTACTTCACCTCCTGTCAGGAAGAAAAGACAAACACGATGGTCATGTAAAAAGAAGAAGATGCATGGAGGGCTGCAGGGTTGTTGAAAAATGATTGAAAAATGATTGAAAAATGATTGAAAACTGATGAAAGGCATGAGCCCCTCTGGTGCTCTTCAGTGTGGGGATCCACCTTAAAAGCTTTTGAAGAGTTCTCAGGCACTCAGAGGGGTAGTTAATAAAAATCCTTTAATGGATAAAGACTCATAAAAAGATGATAACATGTTCAACCTCTTCATAGCTCCTATCATAGAGCCCGACGATTGATTGGCCAGCCGATAATATCGGCCAACATTAGCTTATCCAGTGACTATCAGTATCGTCTAATTTTATCACAGATATGCGCCGATATTACTTGATTCATCCACCAGTCAAATAGCATTTCATTTGAGTTTCATTGTATTTCACTAGCAGTTCTCTTCACCAGCAGAGGGTGCGACATGGATTACAACAAACACCATCACTCTCCAGAGTGTCAAGCATTGATGCATGCACGTTTCTTTCCAGTTGAGTGACCATCTTGTCTTCTTTTTACGTTTTCCACATTTTAGGGATCAACACAATAAATGTGTATATCTATATCTATCTATCTCTACAGATCGAACATAGATCTAATAAAGATATTGGCCTACATATCAGTATCGGTATCTGCCCCAAAAACCCTAATGTCAGACGGGCCCTTGTGTACATACTGCATTGGATGAATGTGCATGCAATTTCCCATTTTCTGCTTTTTAGCGTGAAAACTTTTTTTCAAGATTTATTTTTGGGGCCTTTTTTTTGTAGGGATAGGACAGTGGATACAGTTGGAAATCTGGGAGAGGAAGAGTGGGGAATGACATGTAAATAATGATTTCAACCTGGGCCGTCCGCCTAAAGGACTAAAGCCTCTGTAAATAGGGTACATGCAATAAACCACTAGGCTACTGGCATGATGATTATTTTACAATATCAGGCTGGCAGTTCCTGGAGAAGTCTTCCCACAGAGCTTCTAGCAGAAAGACTTCATTCTTTTTCTACATTATAATCTGCATTTATATAGCCTTCCTAGTTAGTAGGAACACATTGCAGACATTACTTCCACTCATAGGACATCAGTAAGAAGTCCAAAAGACAGTCAAAAAGAGGGAGATGTCATTCTTTTTCCTTAACCTCCTTAAATGAAGACAAGAATTAAGGAAGGCTGTAATTTAAAAAGTGACGAGCAGGAACAAGGCTTTGTTAGGTTGTCTGGCACGCTGCAGAAGCATCAAATAAGCGACATCACTGCACTTTCACAAAGAGGAAAAAAGAGCAAAGTTTTTACTTCTTTTACATTAGTCACTATGATTAAAAATGTCACATGGCTTAGTAAAAAATGACAAAGGTTGAATCACCACATGAAAAGTCGCAGTGAAAGTTAACAGTAGAGTCACTCAGTTCCAAGAGGTGAACCAAAGGTAGAAACCAAATTCTTGTTTTCTTGTATCTTCTGGCTATCAAACCATGCTTTATTTAGCATTTCAGATTCAACATGTAAATGTAGGATAAAGGGATTTCATCACTTTTGGTTTTACATACGGCTCAAGTAGGGGCGTGTCCAGGCTTTCTTGGATTTTGGTGGCCTAATTGGGGCACTGACTTGTGCAGGGGTGGCACGAAGTTTGTATGAATAAAGAACATTTATTTACACCTTCTGTCTGCACTAACACATCGACATGACATTTAAGCTTAAATCTTTAAGGAATAAAAAAATGTACATCCAAAGTCACAATCTAAAGTAATTACAAAAAGTTGCAAACAAACATCTACACACTGGAAACTATGAGCTGCTGGTTGCAACACTGCCCTGAATGGTGGATTTCAACACCCATGGCATGCAAATGACCAAGCATAGTTAAGTGGGGTGGCACCTGGGGTGGAAATTAGGGTTCGGGGGGGGGGGCATGCCACCTCTCTGCATATGTCCCTAAAGATGTCAGCTGTCCTCCGATGGCTGCTAGCTGCATGCCTCCACTGACTCACCTCTGGACTCCATCAATGATAATTTCTGGAGCCAGGGGTCTAATATATCATCTAAATGTCGGCAACAGGGCCTTCAACACGCAGCTGAGCGTTATGTGCACAATTTCACAATTACAGCAACATCAGTTAGTGCTCAATGCTTCAGATCCAAGTGGAAAAGATAGAAGACTAATTTACTGTCCCTGGAATTGACTGCCAATGGAGCGGTCACAGGGCAGAACTGCTCATCATCATTACTACAGATTGTAGTTAGACCTACTATATTTTTTAAATATCAGTTTTAAAACCAATGACATAAACAACTTTCGGTTTATGGAACAGGATGAAAAATACTTCACAATTAAGATGTGGATTTTTTGAGTCCCCCCTGCAGATATCGACACGATTTCACTGAGATGCACTGAGAGGACTTGGTCCAGACGAACGTTTCTCTAACTGGAAGTAGCCCAGTAACAGTTGCTTTGAGTGGGAGCTCTCCAATTGGTGGTCAGCGGACCAATCAGAGAGAGTCCACAAAGGGTCAATTCATCTATAACTTGTTGCTGCAGGAAATCAGGGATAAACTACGGTCAGTCATGTTAAACCTCAGCTGCAAGGAAGGGTGGACAACAGAAACGTGAGGAAAAGGAGAAATCCTTCCTGCATATGATCCCATATGCTCTTCTGTAAAGCATCTCGAGATAACACTTGTTATGAATGGGTGATATATAAATAGTGATTGATTGATGTTGATGTTTCTAATCACAAGGAAGGTTTGATTATTGCTTATTGAAATAAGCTTTGGCTTATTGGCTTCACCTTTCCACACTTGAGGTTGCTGCTTGATATGTACACAGGTTTGAATATGCTTTGAGTTGACATCAGTTGAGTCTTGACTTCACCATAAATTGGAAAAAGAGCTCACCTGCAAATCTGCAAAAGTTTACAGGAGTTTATGCTAGTGCATTTTATGAGCACAAACTCTTGTAAAGAGGCAGATCATGATGCAGTTTATGAACATTACAGTACATTGTGCTATCAGTGAACACAATCTAGTCCCCATGCCCCACCGCTCCCTCACTTAGCACTAAAGATTGTGATTTTTATATCATAATACTAATTTTTAATGAGATTTCTTCTGTTTTTTTTGTTTAGTAAAGGTCTTTGTTTTATTTTTCCATTTAAGAATTGCTTTTCCCCTCAATTAAAGCTAGCATTTCTTCTGATTATTTTGTTACAGAACTTGACTTTGCATCTGAAATTAGACTGAAGCTGGGTTTGTGTTTGTGTTTGTGTGTTTAGAGATCAGCAGCTAAATAAAGAATCTTTTTTTTCAGTCCTATGATTGAACTGCATTGTGCAGCTGGTGTTTTCTCCTCCAAGGGTAATATTCATTTGGCCACTTGGGGGGAAAATATGTGAGCAAAAAATGACTTAAAACAAAGCTTTTGCATATAAAACTTCCTTTCGAGGTAGATGTTGACACTGTGTGAGAAATACAAAAGCAACATTTGCATTTATTTGAAGTAATGTCTTTGGCCATCTGATGCATGTTCACAATCCTTAGTGTTCATGGTGGATTAATGGTTGGTCTTTTACTTGCTTTTTGTGACATAAAGAGTGTCTTCAGATAACACTTGTTATGAATAGGCGCTATACAAAGAAAGATTGATTAACTGATGAATAGATACTTACACCTGAAAGAAAAACATCTGGCAGTCTAAATGTCCCGAGCCACATCAAGCTTTACTCACTGACTGTCTGCTTTGTGGTGCTGGGCAGGAAAAATATAAGATTTTTTTTGCTTCTGCTGAAAACAGGAGCCTATTGATAAAATGTAATATTGGGGTCATAAATCCAAAACGATGTGGAAAAGATGACTTAAAAGCTATGCAGAGCTGGTGTTTACTTCAGTTTGGTGATAATTATTTGTGGTTTACAATTTTATACTCTGGATTCTGGATTAGCAGGACACTTTGCATCATTGCACTTAACTACGAAGCTAATGAATCACACGTACAAATTATACTCCAGAGACAACTAGGGAACCACTGTTGACTCTTACGCAGAAATATAAAATCACACAAGTGGTATGGAACAAAACAGTTCAATAACCGTGTCCACCAAGAGTTTTTTCAGGAAAGAAAAGCGTTGCACGTCCGTCCTGTCCACAGTTTGTTGACAACGGCCGCTGTGTGACCGACACTGCTAAGTTACTTTTTACTGCATGTTTTATATTTGAAATAATTTTTTAACCTTGCAGACACGAAGCAAAGAGGATGTGAGTACAAAACACGATCTATAGAAGGCTTCAATACAGGGAATATCAAACATTTTGAAAAGAGTGCCTGTGACATCAACAGAGCCTTTCTGAAAAGTTGAAAGATTTTCAACTTGAGCGCTCGGAGCAGCCGCACAACAACGGCAGAGCGCTTGTCATCCAGGCAGATGCTTTCTGCTGCGAACGCTCTCTACCCATTGAAAACAACTGAAAAATAGCGGGGAAAAAAAAGCTTGGTGGACATGGGCCTTAGATTGTGCTTCATCAACCTGTGCCCATTGGAAAGTGTGCACTCAATGTTGCTAGGTTACAAAAGTGAACCTCCATGAGCCAATAGTTTCTGTTTTACATAGCCCTGTGTGCTTAATATTTGCTGTCATTTAAGGATACATCCCCCTGCATTAGCAGCAACTCTACATCTGGAAATTCTACCCTCGAAAAGACGAGTCAGATTAGTTTCATCTCCGCCAATGTTGATAACAAAGCTGATATTACTGTAGAGGTCATTTCTTACTTTTGATTGGCCGGTCAAGGAGCAGTGGCATTGATGAGTGTGGAGCTTTTTCAAATGTTGAATTGTTTTCAACTGAGAGCACGGTGAGTGTCAAAAAACAGGGTGTTACTGAGCTCAGGATGCTAAGCGCATAAAAATCCTCAACATGACTGACCATGCTAGTTTATCCCTGATCGCCTGCAGCAGAGGGTTACAG